GTGCATGCTTGTAATTCTACCCGTAGGAAATGGAGACATGTAGTTCTCTGGACTTTGCTGGCCAGCCAGCATAGTTTATTCAGCGAGCCTTGAGTCCCATGAGAGACCCTGTCTTAAAAAACAAGATGAGTGGACACTGAAGAATGATACCCAAGGTTGGCCTTCATATGTGTACACATGCACGCACACACACACACACACACACACACACACACAGAGTCTTTTTCATAGTTTCTCAGTTATTTTGTTGGCTTTATTCTATAGCTCAGGTTGCCCACTCCTAGGTTTCTCTGCTTCAGCCTCCCAAAGTACTCACCCCCTTTCCTTGTATAGAACTCATTCTCAGTGGTTCTCAACTTTCCTGATGCTTTGCCCCTTGAATAAGGTTTCTCATGTTGTGGTGACACACACTCATGAAGTTACTTTGTTGCTACTTCATAACTAATGTTGCTGCTGTTTCAAATTATAATGTAAATATCTGATATGCAGTGTAACCCACAAGTAATTCTTTAGACCTACTTCAATCCTACATTTGTTTGATGTAGCAGTTTTTCTATATTGCTGTATTCTGAACTACCTGAGATTAGAAACTGAAGTCTTTTAATTTGTTATGTTTTACAACAATGCGTAGCAAAATTTGGAGGCATAATTATTGAGTATATATTTGTAAATACGTTTATCTTGATCATTTCACTGCTGGCTAAAAAATGGAAGAACATTCTCAATCATAGCAATCTGGATTTGTGTCCCGTGCTGTTCTTTTGAGATTAAAGATAGTCTAGTGTGTCACATTCACAGTTTGGGGGAAAGAGGTATGCTCTATCTGATGCAATGATTTGATTGGGTTGTGGAATTAGTACTTTTGGAGAAATTAACCAGAGTCAGCATCCACATCTGTTTTTTGTTTGAAATTTCTGATTTGTAGTTCCTTATCACCTTTTTTTTTTTTTTTATAAAGACAAGAGTTTCCCTGGCTGTCTTGGAATGTACCCTGTAAAACAGACTGGCCTTGAAACCAGAGAGCTGCCTGCCTCTGCTTCCCAAATACTGGGATTAAAGGCATGAACTACCATGCCCTTTAGTTCCTTATCAAATGACTGAACCATAAACTTCCTTTTATGCTTTTTTTAATTTCCATTGGCAGTGATGTGCCTGTTTACAAAGTTGTCAAAATGCTGTTTTATACCTTGTATTTTGCCTGACACTGTTGTGTTTCCTCTTAGCTGCTCCTCTGTTCTTTGATTCTAAAGACATTTCTAAATTCCCAATATTAACCATCTATGATTATTTATAAATTTATAAATCCTTTATAGTATGATGTCCCATGAATCCTAAAAGCTTTATATCATAACCTAGAGAAACAAAATTTAGGGAGAAAAAAAAGACATGTTTTTGTTTAGTTGCAAATCAAGATAGCAGGGGATAAGGGGGTGGTGAGATGGATTAGCAGACAAGGGCACTTGCTGCCAAGCCTAAGAACCTGAATTTGATTCCCAGAATCCACAAGATAGAAAAGAGAACCAGCTCCCACAGGTTGTGCTCTAAAGTGTGTGTGTGTGTGTGTGTGTGTGTGTGTGTAAGAGTAAAAATTCAATCACACAAAGATGAAAATCAAGCACTGGCTTCTAAAGTTGCAGTTTTGTGTCTGATTATGTCATGTCTTCATGAAAATACACCAGTCTGGTTGCCAGTAGATTGGCTTGTACCAGTTAAAGGTTTAAGGATTTTGATTATCATTTCCTTGATAAGGATATTTGTTTTCTTGGGTCTGGTCATACAAACTATTAGGTTAGGCTTTGCTCTAGCCAGTAGGTAGATTCAGAGCTTCTTCTTGTGTCTTCTCCATGCTACCAGCAGCATGGACACACTTTTCCAGGGGAGACTAGAACATGATGTTAATCCCAGAGATGTGAAGAGAAAGACCACCCACCCAAATCATGGCCAAATTACTTAAAGCAGGCTTTTTATTTGTGTACCCATGCTGTCTCTCCCTAAAGGTGGGGAAGGTAAGGATTTTTGTAGTTCATGAGGAGGAGGGGGTTCTAGATTGGGGATTTGGCAGGCAAGTAGGCAGGGTTATAGAAGCAGAACATAAGCATGGCAAGTTGGTTAGAACAACCTTCTGAAACAAAGACATATTTGCAAGGTGAGCATAACAACCTCCTAAAACAAAGGCAAGAAACAGGCAATACAGAACTTTTGTAGTTAAGGTTACAGGTGGGGCATAGCCTTGAAAAACAGAGGTTTAGTCTTAAATAGAAATGAACCTAGTTTGTCTTTACTATAGGATGGTTTTTAAGCCTAAATTGGAGTTTATCAACAAGCCAAACCGTCCAAGCACATTACAGCTTTTGTTCATACTGTTGACACAGGATTTCAATATGTAATCCTGCCTGGCCTACAATTAAAATCAGACTGGCCTCAAACTCAGAAAGATCCTCTTGCCTCTGTTAAACTCAAAAGCATGTGCCACAATACTTAGTGTCTTTAATTTTTTTGAATTATGTTTTATTTTGTGAGCCTTTGGAAAGGATGAGTGGGTGTTTGCCACCTTACTCCTATGGAGGTCAGAGGGCAATTGGTAGGGAGTCTGTTCTCTCCACCATATGTCCTAGGTATCAAACCAGGGTTGTCAGACTTGACATCTTTTCCCTCTGAACCATCTTACCAGCCCCACAGATACTCTTTTAATCCAAAATTGTTTAATAGAAATGTATTTGAATGGGAAGATTGATAAACTAGATTAACTCATAATGTGGAGGCTGATTTCAGGTATTCAAAGGCATTAAAGTATTTGTTCTTATTGAAATAGTAAAGAGTTCAACAACAGTGTGTTATAATCTAAGCATTACTGAATGGCATAATTAAGTCCATTTTAAATATACTTTGTAAATAAATATGAGTGTTAATTTACAATGTCAGTCTTCTGTGTTTTAAAAATAAAGAATAATCTCAGTGTAGGGAGCCTGGAACAAAGTGAAGCATTTCAACAACAGGTCAATCGCTTTTTGCAAAAAGGGTGTACCACTATTCAAAACAGGCTAGCAAACACACAGTGGGCAGGAAGTTCACTTAGTTTCTGTTCTAATTCGGGTGGTGGTTTTATCTTCCCCACTAGCTGAGGTCCAACTTCACAGACTTTCTCTCTCTCTTTTTCCTCCCTAGGCAGGTTTTTCTGTGTAGCCCTGACTGTCCAGGCTGGCCTCAAATTTCACAGAGATCTACCTGCCTCTGCCTCTGACTCCTGAGTGCTGGGATTAAAAGCAGCTCAATTGGCTACTTTTAAAAGGAGGATACAGTCAGAGTGCTTTCTGTAAACAAGTTTTACTAGGTTGGAAAGCTTTAAAGATTTTTGTAAAAAGTTTTAAAAGGTGAGGAAATTCTCACAGGAACTAGAGATTCATTCTGCTGAGCCATCTTGCCACTGCAACATTCTGGTTTTTTTCCAGAATAGACACAGAAATTTGAAAAATAGGGGCTATAGAGGACCACCATTCAATTCCCAGCACCCACATCTGGCAGTTTACAACCACTGTTTCATTTTGTTACATACATTTATTTTTACATAATTTACAATTGTACTGTTTAACATCAAATTTTACTCCACTCTATCTAGAAATGTGCCCCTGAAGACATTAACATCAGATAAACCGACCTTCCTTTAGTGGCTCAGCTTCTAATGAGTTCTTACTCTCTTAAGACTTTCACAAGAGTTTTACTTCCCACACCCCAAGCACATATAGAGGTTAAGCTAATCCCCTGGACTTCATACCTAAAACATAAAGATGCAAATCCTAGCTCTTATCACTCTAGGCTTCCTAACCTCACCATTGCTTGTTCTCCTTCAGTTAACAAAAACCAAAACAAATAAACAACAGAAAAACCAAACCTCAGAGAGTGGTGAGACATGCCTTTAAAATCCTGTCACTCTGGAAATAGGCAGGCAGATCTGGCAGGCAGTTCCTGATTAGCCAAAGCTAAAAAGAGAGAAAAAATAGCCTTAGCATTCAAGTGGGCAGCAGTCAAATTCATGTCAACAAACACTAGCACAAATTTAGTGATTCATAATAATAAATAGCAAAAATAGAAATGAAAGTTACTTTAATTAAAAAGAAATTAGGATGGGTTGTGGTGGTGCATGCCTTTAATTCCAGCACTCTGGAGGCAGAGGCAGGTGGATCTCTGTGAGTTCAAGGCCAGCCTGGTCTACAGGAATGCCTTGCTTTCAATTCTTAGTTCCTGGGTCTTGATATTGGAAGTATACATAAGGATATTCCTCTATTTTTCCCCTTTGTCACCAGTTTTTTGGATTTTTCAAGACAGGGCTTCTCTGTGTAGCTTTGGAGCCTGTCCTGGAACTCACTCTGTAGATCAGGCTGGCCTCGAACTCAGAGATCCACCTGCCTCTGTCACCACCACTGTCTGGCTTAGTTTACTTTTTTAATGTTTTTACTTTTATATTATTGTGATTTGCCTCCATGTGTGTCTGTGTACCACATATGTACAGTACTCGTTGAATCCAAAAAAGGGCCTTAGATCCCCTGGAACTGGAGTTATAGATGGTTGTGGGCTACCATGTAAGTGCTGGAAATTGAAACTTGGTTCTTGAGAGGAGCAGCCAATACTCTTAACTACTGAGCCATCTCTCAAGCCCATCCTCCTTAGCATTCAAAACTAGAAAATGCCATTATTTAAAAAAAAAAAAAAAAAAAAAAAGAGTCCTTATGTTGCTGTTGTATTATTGCATTAGCACGCTTCCCCATTTCCACATTGTACACAGATAGAGAAGGGATTGTTTCTTGTGTACCTTTGTGGTACGTTTGTCCTCAGGAATCTGGAAGGAGTGTCAGCTCCAGTGTACTCTTTGTACTAAGTATTCAAATTCTGGTTTTGACTTTTATTTTGTGATGTTTGAGAACTTGAGGGTTGGAATTTTTGGTGTTTGTTTGTTTGTTTGTTTGTTTGTTTTAAACATCTTTCTCTCTTTTTTTTCCTTCTAGCCTGAGAATGAAATTTCTTCAGACTGCAATCATGTAAGTATGGATTTAAAAAAAAAGATTTATTTATTTATTGTGTATACAGTATTCTGCCTACATGTATGCCTGCAGGCCAGAAGAGTGCACCAGATCTCAGTATATGTGGTTGCTGAGAATTGAACTCAGGACCTCTGGAAGAACAGCCAGTGCTCTTAACCTGTGAGCCATCCCTCCAGTCCAATAAGTATGAATTTTCAGTAACTCACCATATGTGCTTTATAAATATGATGACAGATTTTGGGAAGCTTTTTCATCTTTTTCTGGAAGCTTTATATTTTATCTGATTCTGTGAATTTTAAAAGGATGTGTTAAGTCTTGTTTAAGGAGCCTTATAAATAATATCTTGTTGTAGAAACCCTAAGGTATAGTAGTAACACCTTCAAAGATGACAGATATGTCAGGGTGGTGGTTAAACTCAGCAGGCAAGACTCTTGTACACGTTAAAGAAATAAATCAAAAAGCAAAACCAAACACAACTCTGAAGTAAACCATATAACAAAGGGGCAATCAAGTGTTTTCAGGGAATAAAGATAGATATTCCTGGAAACTAGAATCTGAGCAACTCTCTTTAAGGTTGATCTGTGAAAAGCACTGTTCTGTGAATTCTCAGACAAACTCCACCACATCTGAGCATTTGAGGCAAGGCTTTTTAGAAGCAGATGTTTTCTTCAAAACTTTATGAGGGACTTTAATATTTAGGATTTTTGTTTATTGGTTGGTTGGTTTTGGTTTTTGAAACAGGGTCTCTCTATGTAGCTAGCCCTCACTGTCCTGGAACTTGCTCTGTAGAATAGGCTGTCCTTGAACTCACAGAGATCCATCTGCCTCTGCCTCCCAAGTGCTGGGACTAAAGACCTATGCTACTACTGCCAAGCTACTTTTTTTTTTTTCTTGATACCACATCATTTAGAATTTTTTAGTTAAGTGTGTCTACATGTGAGTTTGTGCAGGTGGGTACAGTGTCCATGGAGGTCAGAAAAGAATGTCTGACGTCTTGGAGCTGGAGTTATGCATAGGAGCCTCAGAACCTGGGTTCTGAGAACCAAACTCTAGTCTTCTGCATGAGCAGTACATGTTCTTAACCCTGAGCCATTTCCCTAGCCCATGTACCACATAATTTTAATTCATAGTTTTAAAAACATGTCATTTAGGAGGAAAGAAAAAAGAATATCTGGATGTGGGTGCTCATTTAATTGTATATATTTTTTGCTTTTTATCTGTGAATGTGTTACTGAAAATGTAAATGTGCTTTATATGGTTATATAACTAGTTTTTGTCATTTATAATCACTGACGACAAATTTAATGTTGTTCTAACCAGAGGGTCTTTGTTTTGTTTTCTTCTTCTCTTGAACCCAGTTGTTGTGGAATTACAAGCTGAACCTCACTACTGATCCCAAATTTGAATCCGTGGCTAGAGAGGTTTGCAAGTCAACTATATCAGAGGTAGAGTGTGAAATAATTTTGTGGATATTGTGAGAATTATAATGTAAATACCTGCTTTCAGATAGGTCTTATCTGTGAAAGGGTCTTTTGACACCCACCCCAAGGAGTCACAGCCCACAGGTTTAGGTACACTGGTAGATGAAGAGATACATAAGTCAAGGTTTAGGAGAAAAACCTCAACTCTGCCCCTTTCCTAGTGCTCTACCCTCTAGGAATTTGCATGTCTAGCTGTCTAGAAACTCTTAAACCATGTTCTTCTGATTTTTTATGGAGACTTCATTGTATATCTAATATTAAAATGGATGGGGAAATCCAGCCAGACCTGTCAGCATTCTTCTTGGCTTCTGGAGCATTCCCCTGGCATGACCCCATAGAATAAGAAGATTCTCATGACCTACTACCAGGGAAGGATAGTTCAGGAGTTCAAAGAATATAATAGCCACTTTCCAGTATTGAAAGACAGGAAGTGTTAGGGCTTCTAAGACTTGAATCAGGAAAGAGAAATCCTAGTTTCTATGGCCTTGCTTGGGCAAGGGAGTTATGAGTTATAAAAGCCAAAGTCTCTATCTTTACCTTATTATGAAATAACACTATTTCTCCTTAAAACCAATGTGTTTCTAAACATCCTCCTTTTTGTCTCCTATGTAAAGAGCTTTAAATGTCTGAACTCAGGAGGCAGAAGCAGGTTGATCTCTGAGTTGAGGCTAGCCTGCTATTCAGAGAGTTCCAGACTAGCTCGGGCTGCATAGTGAGATACATCTCCAGCAACAATATCTTGGCTTGAATGTAGTTCCTTGATTTTATATGTATAAAGTAGCTACTTTTTTCCCCCCTCAACAGATTAAAGAATGTGCTGAAGAACCAGTTGGTAAAGGTTACATGGTTTCCTGCTTAGTGGATCACCGAGGCAACATAACTGAATATCAGTGTCACCAATACATTACCAAAATGACAGCTATCATTTTCAGTGATTACCGTTTGATTTGTGGCTTCATGGATGACTGCAAAAATGACATCAACATTTTGAAATGTGGCAGTATTCGCCTTGGTGAAAAGGTATCTACTACATTTACTTCTCCAATGAATCTATGAAATTGGTAAATGAAAACTATTGTGTAACTCATATGGGAGAAACTAGGACTTGAGAGGTGGTCTTAAAGTTTAGATTAAAAGAAACTTGTACAGATACTTTCCATGATCCAAGACTGATTGAATTAGGACATTTTGTAGGTTTGTAACAAAGTATTTCAGTATTTATACTAGCTATTTCTCATGTTGCTGTAACAAAATAGCTAACAGAAGCAACTTAAGGAAGGAAAGATGGATGGATTTGTTTGGGTTCCTGAGCAAGTACAGTACAGACATGCTTCTCTCTCTCTCTCTCTCTCTCTCTCTCTCTCTCTCTCTCTCTCTCTCTCTTCCTCCCTCCCTCTCTCTCTCTCCCTCTCTCTCCCTCCCTCCCTCCCTCCCTCCCTCCACCCCCCTTTCTAGTTCAGGACTTTTGCACCCTTTTTCAAAATAGTCTTCTTTGCCTACTTTGAGTTGAGCTGATCTGGAAACACCTTCATAGACTTGCCCAAAGGTTTATCCCCTAAGTGTGTCTGAATCACATCAAGTTACCATTTAAGACTGACTCATCATCACTTATCCTGCTGTGGTGCTGTGGTAGTCAAACCTTAAATCCCAGTACTCAGGAAGCAGAGACAGGTAGATAGAACTCTCTTGAGTTCGAGACCATCCTGGTCTACAGAGTGAGTTCTAGGACAGCCAGGGCTACACAGAGAAACCCTGTCTTGAAAAAACAAAAACCCAAAGTTTCACCATCACTGTATTATTTTCTGAAGTAGAGAAATTAAAACAGAAGAAGCTACTTTTTCTTAGTTAATGAACTTTTCTTAGTTAATAAACAATTAACCAAACTGATTATAATAAAGACAGAAAAGAAGTAACTACCCAATTAGTTTCATCTTCCTTAGTACAACTGATCTTATGTTTGAAATTATTAGTCCAGTGGTTCTTAACCTTCCTAATGCTATGACCCCCACCATAAAGTTATTTTCATTGCTACTTCATAACTGTAATTTTGCTACTATTAATCATAATGGAAATGTCTGTGTTTCCATAGGTTGAAAACCACTGTATTAGTCTGTTAAACAGGATGTCACAATGGACATTTGGTTCTGGATTTGTTTGTTCAGCAGAAATGAAAGGCATTCATGAAAAATAATGCAATGGGAGAGGTACTCAAAGACATGGCATCAGGTTTTAATTGCTGCTGCTCAAAAATCTTGATTAGGACCTAAGATGGAGGAGAACCCGTTGTTTCTTTGTCCTCTCTTCGTTTATGATTTGCAGATAACTTTAACAAGTGAACCATTTGTGTTAGGACCTGTAGCTGAAATGAAGGATTTAGTGTTTAGTATTGTCTGCCTGTCAGCAAACCCCGATGTTTCTTCACATCAGCACAGGTTCCTGTCCCCTCTAGTCAATGTCTCTAAGTCAGCCTTAAAAGCTCTGTAATCTTGACAAGAAGCTTTCAGGCAACTAAGAAAAGGCTGGTTTTAGGAAAGAATGCATTTGTCTTTGTTAACTAACTAAAAATGGCACAAAAACATTTGGTCACCCTGATAAATTTAGGAAGTTCCTCTGACTTTGTTTAGGGTACTGGAGATTACATCTGATTCAAAACATGAGTCATTATAAAATCTCCAGACTAGTGTTGCTGACATACTTTTCAGGAATCTGGATGATACTTTTTAACATGTGTCCAGTGATCATACAGTATAGTTCCCTTTTGTGCTAGTTTTACCTATTGCCTGTTCGTTCAAGAGCTGATGATCTCCCTTGCCTATCTGAATTACCAGTATAAAACCTGCTTTCATGCTGGTTGTTGGTGGTGCACACCTTTAATCCTAGAAGTTAGGGGAGGCAGAGGCAGAGGCAGAGGGAATCTGTGACTTTAAGGCCAGCCTGGTTTACAGACCAAGTTCCAGAATAGCCAGAGCTACACAGAGAAACCCATGTTTTTCTAAGACTGTAGTGGCTGGAGTTGAAGGGCAAGACAAATTGTTATTCAGATCTAATAACATAACAAAGACCACTTCCTTGAACCTCCAGGTGTAGTACACTTTTATCATTTTTATCTTTTTGTCGTTATTTTTACTTGATTGTTTTGAGACAAACAAATATGTATGTATATAGCCTGGGCTAGTTTCCCAAATTCTAGGATTATAGGTGTATGACAACATACCCAATTCTTTTTCATCTTTTGATATTACTACCAGGTTAAGTGAAATTTCTGTTCATACTAGATCCATCTTCATGTGCCAGGTTTTCTTTGGCCTAAGTGCAGAGATACAGGCTCAGCCTACCTCATAGAAAAAAAACACGATCCTTCCTATGTAAATTCCTCTAGGGCCACAGGCATGTTTAATCCTCTAGGGCCAAAGTTCAAATTTGCTGCCACTGAAAGTGACCTGCATCCTTCCTCTGTATAAGTATGTAAAATAATATCATTATATTTGACTTTAGTGATTTTTTTTCCCCAAAATGAATTTTAGAACAAAGAAGATACGTTATCAAAACCTTTCATATTTTCTAAGTAAATGTCAGGATGAAAGGGCAGGTTTCCAGAAGTAGAAGTATAAATGATTCACTCACAAAGAAAAATTGGGTGGGGCTAAGGAAGCCATCGGTTGTGGACCTTTGCTTCAGTATCGCTGCTGCACTTTTGTTACTTGTTCCATTTTAGGACCTCCTGTCTTTAATCAACTACCTCGAATAGTTAAACAGTTTTCCTTCAGTTCACTAAGTTCACAGGAAACATCAGGAACTGCAAACTAGAGAATTGTTTATACAAAGGAAAAGTGTAGCTCTTCCTTACTATCTGAGGTTAGTGTTGGTGGTGGTGGTTGAAGGACAAGGAATAAGGAGAACAAAAAAATGTTCTAAATGTTTATCAAGACAGTATTTTTCAGATATGTATATATATGTATGTATATATATATATATATTATTATATATTTTATTTTTGAAAAAAATATATATAATAAAAATGTATTGGGATTTAAGAGCATTTGGTGCTCTTACAGAGAACCTGGATTTTAGCATCCATGTCAGTCAGCTCGCAACTCGTTTCTGCTCCCCTGGATTTAATGCCTCCGGCCTCTGAAAGCACTAGCACTGGCATGTATACCCCCCCCCAACACACACACATTCTCTCTCTCTCTCTCTCTCTCTCTCTCTCTCTCTCTCTCTCTCTCTCACACACACACACACACACACACACACACACACACACACACACACACAATTTAAAGTAGAAGTTCTTTTTTAAAAAATTGGGCAGATGGCGGAGGCTGGTAGAATGGCTCAGAAGGTAAATGCATTTGCACCCTAATGACCCAGAGTTCAATTTCCTAGATCCACATGGAGGAAGGAAAGAACTGACTACCATAACTTGTCCTCTGACCTTCGCATATATGTAATGGCACCTGTGCAGTCTACCCCCAAAACACACACGCACGCACGCACGCACTCACGCCTTGGCCTTGGTTTAATCTCTAGCACTGTAGCCAGGTGTGATGATGCACACTTTTGATCCCGGCACTTACTTGGGAGGCAAAGGCAGGTGGATCTCTGAGTTCTAGGTCAGCCTGGTCTACAGAGTGAGTTCCAGGACAGCCAGTGCTACACAGAGAAACCCTGTCTCGAAAAACCAAAAACAGAAAAAAGAAAGAAAAAGTGCTTGGTGTGGTGGTACATGCCTATAATTAATCTCAGTAATCCCAGTGCTTGCTTTTATATATTTGTTTGTTTGTCTCTCTCAGTCTGCTCCCACCCCCCCTTTGTGATGTCTCACGTGGAGGTCAGAGGGAAACTTGAAGTCATTTCTCTCTCACCATGTATATACCAGGGATTGAATTTAGGGCATGGGGTTTGGTGGCAAATCTTCTTTACCCATTGAGTCATCATGTCTGCCCCATGAATTTGTTCTCTTTCAAACTTGACTGACAGCACTATGACTTGGGAAAAAAATTTAACTTTTAGATGTGAGTGAATTAGATGCTTCTTCAGTGTTATTTGTGTCGACATAAATTGTTCATAACAATGGGTTAATGTCATTTCTTAAGAATTTCTGCCAATATATACACAAACTAAATAAATAATGTAATTAGAAAAATTGAAAGCCTACTGTTTTAATGGGGTGGGTCCTGACATTTAAACCATAAAAATACAAAAGTTCAAGACCTAATTTTAGTGCTAAGCTATAACAAAATTCCTAGGACTTTGGCACTGGAGAGATGATCTAGTTAAGAGTTCTTGTTGCTCTTGCAGAAAACCAGAATTCAATTCCCAACACCAGTGTTAGGCAGTTCTCAAGCATCTAGGGGATCTGGTGGCTTCCTCTGACCTCTGCAGAACCCCATACATATATGCAAATACAGATGCACACATACAAATAAATAAAACTTTTTTTTTGAAATCAAGAATTCCCAAGAATCCTGTTTTCCTCTCTCTCTCTCTCTCTCTCTCTGTGTGTGTGTGTGTGTGTGTGTGTGTGTACGTACGTGTGTACGTGTGTACACAGACCCATGGAGTCCAGGAGGCTTTGGATCTCCTTTAGCTGGAGTCTGAGTATTTGTGAATCACCAACATAAGTGGTAGGAATTGAACCCAGAACCTCTGCTAGACCAGAATGTGTTCCTTAACTGCTTAGCCATCTCTGTAACTCACACTCCTTTTTTAAAGAACAAGTATTTATTTAACCCCTATATGGTAAAAGTATTAAAATATTGCTGCTATTTTAGGATGCACATTCACAAGGTGAGGTTGTGTCATGTTTGGAAAAAGGCCTGGTGAAAGAAGCAGAAGAAAAAGAGCCTAAGATTCAAGTCTCTGAACTCTGCAAGAAAGCCATTCTCCGTGTGGCCGAGCTGTCCTCGGATGACTTTCATTTAGACCGGCATTTGTATTTTGCTTGCCGAGATGATCGGGAGCGCTTTTGTGAAAACGTGAGTCACTGTGAAGCTGTTTTTCCTTTCTTTATAAATATCCATAGTACTGTATTCCAGAATGAAATACACCACGATAAACAGGCACAAGTAGGAAAGCCACTAAAGTAGAAGATAGGATTGGTCCCAAGGTATACACAATAGTATTGCATACTCAGTCTTGAACATGTAACATCTAAGTTTCTGACAGTCTTAACACTTTCTGCTTTCTCTCATCTTGTAATTTCAGTTCTTTTGTTTTGTTTTGTTTTTTAAAGACACCTTGGCTGTCCTGGAAGTCACTGTAGCCCAGGCTTATCTCACAGATCCTTCTGCCTCAGCTTTCCAAGTGCTCGATTTAAAGGCGTGGGCTACTGTGCCACACACAATTTCAGTTCTTGAAAACCTATTTTATCTGCAGTGTGTTGGTGAACACTTTTATTCCCAGCACTCAGGAGGAAGAAGCAGTTGCATCTCTCTGATTTTGGTCTATAGAGTTGCAGGACAGCCAGGGCTATATAGAGAGACCCTACCTAAAAAAAAAGAAAGGAAGGAAAGAAGGAAGGAAGGAAGAAAGAAAAGATTCTAAGAATCTGTGCTTACCTGGAAGTCCTATTCATGTCCTATAGCTAAAGCTGTGTTACATTACTTTTTTATATGGTTTTGATTAAGATCAGTAAAATAAATGGTGGTTATGTGTGGTGGCAGAGACTAGTGGAGCTTGTGAGTTTGAGGCCAGTCTGGTCTACAGAGTTTCAGGACAGCTAGGGCTGCACAGAGAAACCCTGTCTTAAAACAAACAAACAAACAATGTTATCTTAACTTTATCCCTAGATAGAGCCTGTTGATTTGTGAGACAGCTTTTCCTTCCTGCTCCCTTCCTTCCTTTTTTTTTTTTTTTTTTTTTTTTTTTTTCATTTCCTTTGCTTCCTTTTTTTTTTTTCCCTGTGATGAGGATTGAATGCAGTACCTTATACATTCTAGACCCCTGAGCTTTGTACACACTTCACTGATCTCAACCAAGGACTGAGTGACCTGTATGTCCTCCCTTTCTGCCTGCTTTTGTCTAAGACTGGGTATATCATAGCATAACTACTTAGCTAATAGTAATAATGCGTATGTTTTATCTTACAGACACAAGCTGGTGAAGGAAGAGTATATAAATGCCTTTTTAACCATAAATTTGAAGAATCCATGAGTGAAAAGGTACCATTTTGAAGGAACTATTTATTGTTTTACTAATTTCATAAAGCTTCAACAAACTCTTTCTTGTTTCTTTTTTGACTTAGGTTTGGTTGATTGTTTCTAGAACATAGCCTTATACCCCAGACTGTCCTCAAACTCAGTATGGAGCCAAGGGTGACCTTGAAGTCCTGATCCTCTTTTACCTTCCCAAGTTCTGGGATTAGCATATGCCACCATTCCTGGCTTCCTTCATTCTCTCTTACACAGTTGTCTTGTGGACTTTCCAAAGGGTTGATTCAAAACGCCACCCACATACTCACATACCAAGTTATCAGAGGGTGGTCAGTCAAGTTTCTTATATAAAATGGTATAGTGTATGTATAACAACCCATGTACATTCTCCTGTGAATTTTAAGTGTCTAGATTGCTTAAAATAACTCACATTCCAGGTGGTTTTGGCAAATACCTTTCTTTAATCTCAGTTCTTGGGAGGCAGAGGCAAGTAAATCTCGAGTTTGAAGCCAGCCTGGTCTACAAAGTGAGTTCCAGGACAGTGGGGCTACATAGAGGGACCCTGTCACGAAAAAAAGCAAAGTGAGTGTGTATGTGTACATATATATGCATAATATACATATATACATACATACGTATGTATGTATGTATCACACAATGTGGATGAGGTGTTGTTAAAATGATAGTTGCTATGTTATATTGTTTAGGGGATAATGACTAGAAGATCATCTGTATATGGTTGGTACAAATACAATTTTATTTTTCCAAAATGATTCTAATCTGTGAATCCACAGAACTGACTTTACCAAGTTATGAATACCTGATAAAGCATATACCCTCCAGAATTGAGACACTTTTGTTTAAGAGTACATTAATGTATATTTGGTATCTGGTATGGTGGCACATGCCTGTAATACGCTCACTCAGAGGGCTAAGGCAGGAGCATCTGAAGTTAGAGGCCAGTCTGGGTAGATAGTGATACTTCATCTTAAAAAGTAAGGCCTGGCAAGATTGCTCAGAGGATAAAGGAACTTGCTGCCAAGCTAGATGGCCTGAGTTCATCCCAGAACCCACAGGATGAAGGAAAAACTCAACCTTTGCAGATTGTCCTCTGACCGCTACAGATATGTTGTAGTGCACCCACCCCCTACACATACACACACACAAAGTAAATAAATAAATTAAAAAATAAACAACAAAATATATTTGTCTTAAAGTAAGCAATGAAGCTCAAATTGTGATACTTTAAAAAAAAAAAAAACGGTGAGAAGTCATTTGAGAGTACAATTGAGGAAATTTTAAAATCAGAACCATATTAATGTCAGCTCTGCATACTCAGGTAGTGTAGGCTAACCACACTAATATCCTTCACAGGTAGCCAGTTGTTTAATTTTTCAGTATTACCTCCTTAAATGTTATTACCATTAATCCTGTCACTAAATGAATAAGAGAATCTTTTTAACACTTTGAAAAGTAACTAATTTTGTAATCCTATCTTTTGCTTTTTCATACAGCTCAAATATTTACTGTCTTCACAGTAAATAGAAAGTTCTGTTCAACAAAATATGCAAATATAATATCAGCTGTGATGTCAGTTGTTTTGAAATTTATATCAGGAGTATGATTGAAGAGGAAAGACTACTTTGTATCACATTTAGTGTATTATGACCCACCAAACAGCTATATGCTACCCTTCTAGCAACAATTAACTAAAAGGTCACTACCAGATTCCAGAGTTTCCTGTTGATTTACTCCTAATTGTTTTCATACTATTTATTTATTTTTTTATTCATCTATCTATTTATTTATTTTTGGTTTTTTGAGACAGGGTTTCTCTGTTGCTTTGGAGCCTATCTTGGAACCCACTTTGTAGACCAGGCTGGCCTTGACCTCACAGAGAGCTGCCTCCCCAGTACACTGTTATTTTTTATGTATGAATGTTTTTCCTGTGTGTATGTATGTGTACCATATGCATGCTGGCAGAAGTTAGAAGAGGGCTTCAGAATCCCTGGGACTGAACTTATGGAATGCTGTGACCTACTGTGTAGGTGCTGGGAATGGAACCTGGGTCCTCTGGAAGAGATATATGTGCTCTTAACTACTGAATCTTATCTCCAAACTCTAGAGCCAGTTTGATTTTTGTTTGTTTGTTTTGTTTTTTTTCGAGACAGGGTTTTGCAGAGTAACAGCTCTGGCTGTCCTAGAACTCACCTAGAGCCAGATTTTAAACAAACTTAAACAGATAGGCATTTTGGTAAAAAGTGCAGTTGTTGACATGCATGGTTCTAAGATTCTGCTTACTGATAAGCTGAAGCATGTTAAGTGGTCTCATTCTCCTTACACTCTTCCTCAGTGTAGAGAAGCACTAACTACACGCCAAAAGCTTATTGCTCAGGACTATAAAGTCAGTTATTCATTGGCCAAATCCTGTAAGAGTGACTTGAAGAAATACCGGTGCAATGTGGAAAACCTTCCTCGGTCCCGGGAAGCCAGGCTCTCCTACCTCCTAATGTGCCTGGAGTCAGCTGTGCACAGAGGTGATGCTTCATTTCCTTTATCCCTTTCACTTTTCCCCACTTCCCATTGTATCTGTAATTAGTAATTTCCTTCAGACCTTTTAATTTGTAGAATGACTGCTGAAGCATTCTTTAGAAGAGTGGGATAACATATTACATGACTTTTAGGTCAGAGTGATTTGACTTCAGATTATGGCTCTGTCACTAAACTAATTGGCTGGGTAACCTACATGTTTAGATTGTTGGAGGGGGGATTAGTAGGGATGGATGTTGTGGTCATGTTTGTAGTTCAAAGACATGGGGGAACTGTTGTGAATATTTGAAGGATAGTTTTATCACAGACTTTAGCTGTTTTGGGTAACAGGGATTGTTCTCTGGGTTTATTTACTGCTGTTAATAGGTTTCTTCTTGATGAGACATCTGGGGCTGTGGATATGTAGCTCAGTAGTTAAATGCTATGTAACATGAATGAGGCCATGAGTTCAACCCCCACATCAAAAAAGGAAAGGAAAAAGGACTTCTTTTGGCAAGATATTTGCATTCTTAGTTCATAAGCTCTGTAATATACAACCCTGCAGGATAAACCTGGGTCTCTGGAGACTAAGTTTGCTTTATGCTGTTGAAACTTTTGCCAAGTTCTAAGCATTTCAATGTAGATATTAATTCCATCCAGAAAAAATTATAACTTTTTTTTCCAGACAGAAAAGTGTGCTTTAATGTGTAAAGATTACTGGTCCTCAAGCTCACTTCTCATAACTGTCTGACTTCCCCTAACATAGGGCGACAAGTGAGCAGTGAATGTCAAGGGGAGATGTTAGATTACCGACGTATGCTGATGGAAGATTTCTCTCTGAGCCCTGAGATCATCCTGAGCTGCCGAGGGGAGATTGAACACCACTGTTCTGGATTACATCGCAAAGGGCGAACCCTCCACTGTCTGATGAAAGTAGTTCGGGGTGAAAAAGGGAACCTTGGAATGAACTGCCAACAGGCGGTAAGGAAAAAAAGATTTTTTGTTTGTTTTTTTGAGACAGGGTTTCTCTGTGGCTTTGGAGGCTGTCCTGGAACTAGCTCTTGCAGACCAGGCTGGTCTGGAACTCATAGAGCTCCTCCTGCCTCTGCCTCCTTAGTACTGGGACTAAAGACATGCACTACCACCACCCAGCTAGGAAAAAATTTTTACTGCCACCTTGACTATTGTTTTAGGATTACTATTGCTGTGATGAAACACCATAACCAAAAACAACCTGGGGAGAAAAGAGTTTATTTTAAATACTCTTTCACATCATAGTTCATTATTGAACAAAGTCAAAGCAGGAACTCAAACCTCAATCTGGAGGCAGGACCTGATGCAGAGGCCAATAGAGGATTGCTGCTTACTGACTCTTCTTTGTGGCTTGCTCATCCTACTTTTTTTTTTGTAGAACCAGAACCACCTTCCCAGGGATGGCACCACCCACAATGGCCTGGGTCCCCTGAAATCAATCACTAATTAAGGAAATGCCCTGCAGGCTTGCTTACAGCCTAATTTTATTGAGGCATTTCTTCAATTGAAGCTCCCTCCTCTCAAATTAGTCTAAGTGTCAAGTTAACCTAAAAGTAGCCAGAACAACTGTCACGTTTTATCAGCCAAAGACCCTTTACCTGTCAAGCAGTTTCTCTGGATTACTTCTGACATCACAATCAACATAAGGTACTAATGATAGACAAAAAACATTGTTCCTATGAGCAGGTTTTAATTGGGATATAGAAGTTGCTACACAACAAAGCTTGAATGCATAATCAATAAAAATAGCTCTGGAGTTGGGTAAAGACAATGTATTGTTTTCCTGCTTCTAAAGAAGTTGCTAAATTGGATTACTAAATGCAGGATAAAGGAAAATCAGTTTCTGCAAAATCAAGTAAGGCTGTTAGCAGAAGAGAACTTGCCTGTCTTAACAAGTTTCATTGAGTTGAAATTGAGAGTTGGCATGAATGGAAATTTTCTGGCAGTTTCTTTTTTTACTTAAATGCCAGAAGCCTGGATCATTTTCAGAATCACACCATCTTTATTAATTAAACCAGCTCCAAACTTTACAGAGAAAGGTGTAGAGGTGGTTGGGAGAAAATAAATTGACTCTCAATCCAGTCTTCATAAACAGTCCAATAACTGAAGATCAACGAAATACAGTGCCTTCGTCTCATTATCTTTGTCCATATATCTGTGTTATTTAGAATAACAAATACAACAGTAGGAACCTTTACAATGACTTTCTCTTTATAAAGCATAAAAGATAATTTGTTTTGCTTTGTTTTTGAAGACAGGGTTTCTCTGTAATAACCTTGGCTGTCCTGGAACTAACTTTGAAGACCAGGCTGGCCTAAAATCAGAGATCCATCTGCCTCTGCCTCCCTAGTGCTGGAATTACAGGCATACACCACCACTACCCTGCTCAAACATGAAAGATACTTTAGATTTATAACCTAAGTGTCACTTTAGAAAACCATAATTTGGGGCTGGAGAGATGGCTCAGGAGTTGAGAGCACTAGCTATCCTTCCAATAGACCCAAGTTCAATTCCCAGTACCCACAGGACAGCTCACTACTTCCTGTAACTCCAAGATCTGACACCCTCACACAGACATACATGCAGGCAAAATGTCAAGGTATATAAAATAAAAAAAAAATACTAAAAAAAAGAAAACCACAATTTACTTTATACTTTTTTGTATTTTTATTAAAACTAAATATTACTTGAATTTATTTTTTAGCAAATCATGTAAAAATCAGAATTTCTGTCTGTAACAAAATTTGGTATTCTGAAACACAAGCTTATATTAGTTTTGAATGTGGAGTAAAATTTCACCTTAGCTTCTGTTAACCCTGACCCAGAGTAGACAGCATTGTGCAGTAAGTTACATAATGCATCTTATGGTGGGATGAAAAGACAACTGTAGCCTCTTCTCTAAAATAGAAAAGTCAGCTAGATGGAGGGCTTCTGGAACCTACTGTGAACCGAGTTGTTGAAGATTAGTTCTCTGTAGTCCTTCTTGATGGCAATTGCCCTAGGTGCCCTCCATGCCAGTGAATATGCCTGGCTACAGTCCAGGAAGAATCAGGAGAAAGCCTCTGCTGCGTTTGTTTGCACCCTTACTTCCATCTAGAAAGACTGTGGGAGGAGGGTGGGGGAAATCCAGCTCACTCAGCCTACACCTGCTGTAGAGTGTTTGGAAAAAGAAAATAAACTGGACTCACCTTTTATTTTAAGGTACATAGTTCACTCCCCCGGGTTCTCTGAAAGTTAGCTTGTTGAAAGAACTAGTGACTCAGCTTCAAAGATAAATAAGTACCACCCACATCACCCTTGGTGCCCAGAAAAGTACTTTGCAAACCCAGAGGGTAGCCACAAAGGTGGGTTTGGCTGCAGTAAGACTAGGTTAGGGGGAAAGAAAAAAAAAAAAAAAAAAAAAAAAAACCACTTCATTTTTATTGTATGGATTTTTTTTAACCTTTTGTCTACCTTCTTTCCTTCCTTCCTTCCTTCCTTCCTTTCTTTCTTTCTTTCTTTGTAAAAACTAAAGACTCTCTCCAAAGGGAGAGTCTTCCTTAATCTTCTACACTATGCTTTAAAGCAACTTGGATGGATTTCTTTTCAGTTCGAAAGTTTTCTTCCTTGACACAGCATACTTCAATACCTGTATTTGACCATTATTTTTTTCATCTCTGCCTCAATTAATTTAGTGGCCTGCTAACAATCGTCATCATCAAGTACTGAGCTATAAAGCATATGGATAATTATTATCTTAATGAGTATATGCTCCTCCAAATTTAATGCAATCACCAACTATTAAGTTGTCTTGGATTATGACTAATAGAGTTCAACCCATGCTTTCCAACACCAGGGATGACTGCACAATCTGTTCTCCAGGCAAATTCTCTCTGCAGCTTTTCTTTAATTCTAGGAGCCAGAATATATGTGCAATCATAACATCAGCTTATTTGTTTTTGTTTTTGCTTTTTTTGAGGCAGGGTCTCTCTATATAGTGCTGGTTGTCCTAGAATTTGCTATGTAGACCAGGCTGTTCTTGAACTCACAGAGATCCACCTACCTCTGCCTCCCCAGGCCTGGGTTTAAAGGCAGTTATCATTGCATCTAGCTCAATTTGTTTTCTTTTTTCCATTTTTGTTTTGTTTTTTTGTTTGTGTTTGTCATGACAGGGTTTCTCTATGTAGCCTTGCTGTCCTGGAACTTGCTCTGTAGAACAGTCTGGCCTTGAACTCAGAGATCCACCTGCCTCTGCCTCCCTAATGCTGGAATTAAAGGTGTGCTCTACCATGGCTCAGCCAGAAACTATCCTGGTTCTTTCTGAGTGCTCTATCTGCATGTACACCTTTGTGCCAAAAGAGAGCATCAGATCCCACTATAGATGGTTATGAGCCACTATGTAGTTGTCAGGAATTGAATCAGGACCTCTAGAAAAGCAGCCAGTGCTCTTAAGACTGAACCCAAAAACAGGAGGTTTAAAAAAAAAAAAAAAAACTTAAACCAGTAAGGGTTGTAATTTCTGTCTTTCACTTGGTTAAGATCTCCACTCCACAACCCCATATGCCACCCATCTGTAGTAATAACAATCTTCTGTCTATAATGCTTTGCAGCTTACCTTACCTTTTACATGTATATTAACTTTTGTTTGTTTGTTTTGGGATAGGTCTCACTGTGTATCCCTGAATGTCTTGGAAATATAAATATATAAATGTGTGTATGTATGTATCTTGAAATTCTAAACAGGCTGGCCTTGAACTCAACACAGGTATGCCTGTCTCTGCAACTTGAGTGTTGTGGTTAAAAGATGTGCACCGCCACACCACACTTGGCCATTTCTTAAAATATGCAATTAATGCTCTCAGAGTAGTGGTGGCACACACATTTAATCCCAGCACTCAGTGGGCAGAGGATGGTAAATCTCTGAATTCAAGGCCAGCCTGGTCTACAGAGCAAGTTATAGGATGGTTTGGACTACACAGAGAAATTCCATCTCCAAAAAAAAAAAAAAAAAAAAAGAGAGAGAGAGAGAGACAAAAAAATCTTCAGTTAAAAGGTCTAAAATGTAATGGGCTGGAGAGATGGGTCTGGGATTAAGAGCATGTGTACATGGGTTGCATAGACATACATGTAAGCAAAACACTCATATTTATAAAATAAAAATACAGGAAAAAATAGAGGTGGTGTGAAAACCCAGAGTCGATGAATGTTACATGGGAACAGAACCATTACCTGAACTTGCATCTTTTGATCCAGTCTCTTCAGTGCTCCATTTTGAGGTGCCTATTTTCCTGCCTTTATTCCACAATAAACAATGAGCCCAGCAAAAGCAGATGAAGTAGAATGTATTCTCAGTTTCCGGTGCTTTACAACAAGCATTTGTGAGTCTTATGGTATAAATATAGTTGGCAAAAAGTAAGAAATTGTAGCAATTCTTTTTTTTCTTTGTTTTGTTTTTTGTTTGTCTGGTTTTCAAGATGGGTTTATCTGTGTAACTCTGGCTGTCCTGGAACTCACTCTGTAGATCAGGCTGGCCTTGAATTCAGAGATCATCCTGCTTCAACCTCCTAAGTGCTGGGATCAAAGGTGTGTGCCCAGCACTCTCTTGTTTTCTACTTCCAGCTGTGAGTTAATTGAAATCTCTCACATCTGCCTTAATAAAACACAGTATACTTGTTATGTACCAATGTCATTTTGGTGAAATTTATAGCATTGTTAGGATCAAATTGGTTTCTACTTGGAGCTGTCTTTTTTTTTGCTCTTTTCAACTCTGGCTTCCTTCTAAGCAGCAGATTGAGAAATTTGATTAGTAGGAGGCAGCCTGTATAGGCATGTTGTAAAGATGCCTCGTGAAGGTCAAACCAAGTAAATATGCAAGTGCCACAGTGACTTCAATAGATAACCTGGAGCAAGTGGAGAAATAATTGAAAAATGTTCCATCAGCGCTTTTCAGCTTGGCCAGTAACATTTGTAGAGCCTTGTGTAGATTGTGATATGATATGCTGGACTGAGCATCTGATGGTATGACATTGCTCTTCTCTGGGCCTAAATTACTTTTTCTTTTCCAACCCAGCTTCAGACATTGATTCAGGAGACTGACCCTGGTGCAGATTACCGCATTGATCGAGCTTTGAATGAAGCTTGTGAATCTGTAATACAGACAGCCTGCAAACACATACGATCCGGAGACCCAATGTAGGTTCTTTTATTTGTAGCACTATCTATATTGTATTGTATTTGACAGCACAGAGAACATTCCCTCCAATGACTTTTGCGTAGCTTAACATCTTGACTGAAATTTTGTTGAACAGTTAACACATATAATACTTTTGTTAAAACTAATATTGAAATTGAGACTTCTGATATGCCTCATCCATGATGAAGAGACATCTAAACCCAGAGCTGTGATGGTATTTGTTGACAATGTCTGGGCATATATGGACCTCTCTTAGTCACTGAGTAACTTCCTATAGTGCAAAGGCACTCAGGATAAAGTAACATTGTACACTGACACTCTATTTTTTTCATCCTTTTTTGTACATTGGCTACTTGAAAATCGTCAGAAAGCAGTTGATCATAATTGAGACCAAAGACAAGATGTGATATTTAGAAGCTATGGTCACAGGCAAACTGAATAGTGGCATTTTATCCAGGATATTGAAAACTAATTAAATGCTCAAGTTAATACATTTTATTTTCATTCCTTTTATTCCATATGATATGAAAATAGGTCCTAAAACCAGATTGCAAATAAGAACATAACTTTTTTTGTTTGCTGGTATGTTGGGATTTTTTATTTCTTTTTTAGTTTTTATAGACAATGTTTCTCTGTATAGCCTTGGCTAGCCTGGAACTTGCTTTGTAGACCAAGCTGGACCCCAACTCAGAGATTGCCTGACTGCCTGCCTCTGCTTCCCGAGTGCTGGGCTTAAAGGCATATGCCATCTCTTCTGGCTTACACAACTCTTTATAGCTTGTGTCTGGCAGTGCCTAACAATAAAGTGAGTGCAGTCAGGGTTTATCACCATTCTTCTTTGTGAAAGCTCCCATTGCTCATGTTGCAGTAGGGAATTAAAACAGAATTCTTGCTTAAAGCTTTTATGTTGGTAAAGGAAGTATAAGCACATACTAAACTAAGGGTGTTTATAGTTTAATAACTGTGTGAACCAGAAAAGGGGCAGGGGAAAAGGAGATGTGTTTTATGTGTATGGTGTTTTCCCAGCATACATGTCTGTGAACTACTGCTTGCCTGGTAATAAAAAGTATATAGAAGGGCGTGTCAGATTCCCTGGAACCAGAGCAGTTATGGGGGTGCTGAAAATTGAGCTGAGTGTTGTTGAAGAGAAATCAATGTTCTCCATTCCCAACATTTTGATTGTGTACAATGTATAACCCTTTTCCAGGTCTTGATTTGAACAAACATTTAAAAAGACATGAGATAATTGAAAATATTTGCGGGGGCAGGGGTGATAACAGGATTTTATTGTATATGAAGGATTTGCCTTTTGTTGTTGCTATGATAATGATATCATATTTAAAGAAATAGGTTGAAGTATTTACTGAAAATTGCCTTAATTATCAGCAAGAGACACTGAGTTAAAACAAATTTGGCTATAGGCTCTCAGGAGTGTAACGAGTTCGGTTTTTCCACCTGACACCACCCGGTCTTGTCCTGCCGCCTCGCCAGCCCCAAATAATACACAGAGACTCTGTATCTGATACAATACTGTTGGCCCGGTTACTTGTTTCTTATCGGCTAGCTCTGCCTTTAATTATTAACCCATTTCTGCTGATCTATGTACTTTCACATGGCCTTCTCTTACCGCGGAGGCGGCTGGCATCCAGCTCTCTCCAGACTCTCCATCTTGACTCCTCCTTACTACTTCCTATTTCCTCCTTGTCTCCTAGTCCCTCCTATCTTCCTTTCCTATTGGCCAACAGTGCTTTATTATTAACCAGTATGAGAAACATATATACATAATGGCATCTCCCATCACAGGAGCTCCAGGTAGGGAAAGTGATTGGTACACTATTTTCTACTCTTGTGTATATTGGAAAGTTTTCCATAATAAATGATTAAAAACAAAACTGCTATACAGAATTTGAAATGCAAAGTGACTTAAAGCTGGTAGAAGAAACAATTATAGTAAAGTTAATTTGTGTGATTCTCAGAAAAATAAATTATATCACCCTTGGGAAATACTGTATTGAAATGAGATTTTTGGAGCCTATCATCAGAATATTTCTTTCATTATAATTTCACCTCTGTTATGACCAGGATTCTTTCATGTCTGATGGAACATTTATATACAGAGAAAATGGTGGAAGACTGTGAACACCGACTCTTAGAACTGCAATATTTTATCTCTCGGGATTGGAAGTGAGTATTTTAAAACCAGAAGAAGGCCTTGCCTCATTCTGACTACTTGTGTGGTCAGTATCAAGTGGATGGGTGTGCATGTGGGGAAGAATTCAATAGTTTAGCTGTGTGTACCTGTGCATAATGTGTGTGAGTTTGTTGGCCACAGTCAACATGTGGGAGTCAGAGGACAACTTGATGGAGTCCTTTCCTTCCCCTCCACACTTACATAGGCTCTGAGGGTCAAACTATAGTCACCAGGCTTGCACGGTGAAGTGCTTTGACCATGGAACCATCTCACAAACCCACATTGTTTTTAAACCCATAGCTCATACTTAAAGAGTACACCTCCTCTGCTAAGCTGTGTCCCCATACCCCACTTTTCTATTTTAGATAATCAGTAACAAACTATTTTCAAATTCTGGGATAGCTAACTATCTCCAACCCCCAGAAAACCTATTCTTGCTACTTCTAGAGCAGTATCTAAATGCAAAGTCAATCCATTGCCAGTCTGTAGGGAGGCCAAGCATCCCTAATCACCACTACTTTGGAAGTTGGGCTCAAACCATTTCTGATACCACAAATATCTTTTGAGAGAGAGTGCTGGTACCTGTGCAGACACCAAGAGCATCTTCAGTTTTGACTTTAAAAAGAGAACAGTACATAAATGACAGTTTGATTTTTGTTTTTAAATCCCTCTCTCATTCTGTTATCATTTTATTTAATGAAAAGACGAACTAGGGTAGTGCTCTCTTACATACAGTCAGAATCACTACAGTTTTTGGCTGTGTTCACCTCTTCTTTCTGTGCTTTTTTATGTATACAGTGTTCTGCCTGCACACCAGAAGAGGGCACCAGATCTCACTATAGATGGTTGTGAGCCACCATGTGGTTGCTGGGAATTGAACTCAGGACCTCTGAAAGAATAGCCAGTACTCTTAACCTTTGGGTCATCTCCCAGCCCTGTGCTTAGTGTTTTCTTTTCCTTCTCCAGTGCCTGCTGACACTGGGTTCTACTGCTTCTGCCTCCAATATTCAGAAGCTTCTTGTTTAACTTGCTTAAATCACTGTATTTGGTCTTTATTCTTTCTTGATGATTAATTTATGTTTTGTTCACATGCGTCAGTGGAAGAAGGTATTTTTTAGATTGGTCTGGAAGGCCAGGCATTGTGGCATGTGGCACATGAATGCATGTGTGTATGATTAAGACTAAAACAGAAATATTGCAAGTTCAAGACTGCCCTTGACTGCATAGCAAGACTATGTTTAAAGTTAACAACTGTTTAAAGTTAACAACTGAGTATGGAAAGGATTGAAGGAGATTGGATGATAGCTTTCCCAAGCCGCCTCAAGCTATCTGAACTGAAGTAATTTGGCAAAGTTAAGACAATGACATCTCTTCAACTCTTCTGTGATCAGAAACGTGCTTCATAATCTCTTAAAAGTTTCTCACCTGCCATTAAACAGGGCCCCCTACAGTTGACAATAGAATGTGAACAATCAGGTATTCCTTGGTCTGATTGAAGAAAAGAAGCGGGTTCATACATCATCCATTGTCCTCACATGATTCAAAGTTAAATGTTTTATAATGTGATAAGCAATTTTCAAGCAAATTGAAGAAATCACTACTTTTATCTTCCATAAGAAGATGAAGAGAACATTTTTGTTGTTGAGTATTCTGTGTAGGAGACTGCTTTTCTTGCCTTTTCCTGATCTTGTTGAAACTAGTGCATCTGATAGAGTTGCACTGCATTCATCCTTGGAAAAAGTACATAATGAAAGATTGACTAGGCGAACAACAAACCTAGTTTACTCTGTTGCCTCACTTGCTGAGTCTTGTAGTAGGTACCTTACAGATCCAGAATGACATCTTTGAGGGAAACTAGACATCTCCTGTATGAAGGTTAACACATTTTTGTAAGTTGACTATTGTGTCATTATGACTGGCATTTAGAGTGGAGTGTGGTTGCTTGTGACTTAATTCTCAGGTTAGCAAGTGGAGGCAGGAGGACCAAGAGTTCATCCACAGCTACACAGCAGCTTCAAAGCCAGCCTGAGTGATATGGGACCTTATCTGAAAGAAGGAAAAACAAACAACAGCATGTATGAGAAGGACAATAGGGAAGTAGTGCTTCTCTTTTCACTCTTAACCTTCTAGGTTGGACCCTGTTTTGTACCGAAAATGCCAGGGAGATGCTTCTCGCCTTTGCCATACTCATGGTTGGAATGAGACCAGTGAACTTATGCCTCCTGGAGCTGTGTTTTCTTGCTTATATAGACATGCCTACCGTACAGAAGAACAGGGAAGAAGGGTATGCTGTCACCTGATTTCTTCCTAATGCCATTTGTTTGTTTCCTACCTATTGTTCTGATTTCTGTCGTCACAAGGAAGCCTTTCTGATATATGTGGTGGGATGGGAGGGTATTGTACTACTAGAAACATAACCATTCAGTTAGTATCCCTGCTGGTATAGTTGTCTACCAGCTTCTTTTCTGTGTGTTGGGTTTTTTGTTTGTTTGTTTGTTTGTTTTAAACAAAGTATATAGGGGAACATTTCCAGGTTTGCTCTCTAAATTTCCAAAATACAAATCACACATGGACAATTAAATTCTACTGTTCTGATTTTATTTAGCTTTAAAGATCCATTAGAAGTTTTAGCCAGTGGTTCTCTAGACTTCTTCCTTTGGCAGCCAAACACAAGTGCTTTATATTAATGAGATCTCTCTGGCAATGCACTAGTCAGAGCACAAACTTCAATACCAGCTTGTTGGCATTTCCCTGCCCCAATTTACCACCCTTTGATGAGATATTTGTGTGAGCTTAGCTGTCTTCTGGTGCCACACAGACATGCTGCTTACTGTCATTCTGAGACCCTGTTTGATGTCATTTCTGCATATGTTACAGACTAGCTATTTTATTACTTTACATACCTGAGTACGGGTACCCTCCTGAGCCTTTTTAGGAGTCAGAACCAGGAGATACAAATAAAAAGTATCACACTTTAATTGTGAAAAGCCTGACCCAGTTTTTTATTCTAGTTTTCATTCTTTCAGAAAACATAGTATTTCCCATTAGCCACAGATGTTCCCATACCCTGGTATCTGGTTAGTCCCAACAGTAGAAGGTTCTTTCTCTTGTAAATAAAGGTAGAGTAGAATCCCTTGTGCTGACTTTTTAGATTTTTTTATTCCACTTTTATTGTGTGTTCACACGCACAGACACTTGTCATGGTGTGCATGTAGAAAGAAGCCAGACAACAAATTGCAGAAGTTTGTTTCTTCTTTCACCGTGTGAGTCTCAGGGAGTATCAAGCTCAGCAGAGGTGCCTTTATCTACTAAGCCACCTCAACATACATGCCCCTTGTGTGATTTTAAAAAATACGTTTACAGAATTGAACTGAAATTCACAGGACATAAAATTAGCCCTTTAAAGGAAAAAAACAATGGTCTTTGGTACATTCACAGTATTCTACAAATATTGTCAAGATATTCTGTGACTCTGGAAGGGAAACTACTTGGGCCTGACTCAGTGGGTCAGTGTGCTTGTTGCCGAGCCTTATGTCCTGAGTTCAACCTCCAAAGCCAATGTAATAAAAGGAGAACTGACCCCTATTAAGTTGTCTTCTGATCCACACAGATGCCGTGGTACTTGCACAGCTACTGTATACATAGGAACATATAAGTAAATAAATAAATAGATGTAATTTTTAAGAAAAAAATGAAAACCCCATACCCACTGAGGAATTATGTCTGTGTCCCTGCCTTGGGTATGTGTTTTTTGTGGGCATCTAAAAGGACTGGTAATCACCTTTTTCACTCTGCTCATTCGGTATAATTTGCCTATAATATACAGCCCTGGCTGTGTAATTGATGTTGTCATTGCCTGCATGCAGTATGTATACATATATCTTGCCCGAATCATTTCTAATATCTTACCATACTCATGGAGTAGCAAGATAATGTTGCTAAACAAAACCCTACTTTGAACGGATCTAGTTCACTTTTATTTTTTTTCAGGGTACCCTCAGAAAAGGACACCATGTAGTTTAATGGAAAATGCTGATTGTATAAATGTTTGGAGAAAACTTCGACAGCTCCCTAAAGCATTTAATTCTTATCCTAGAAAATGTAATTTGGTATAAAGTTTGGGGAGTAAACTATAGGACTAGTTATTAGTTTCCTGATAAGAGATTTATTCTGTCTAGGGACTTCATGTATTTACTTTTGTTACCTTTGAAGTCTTTTGCTCATTCTTTCTGATGTAGCTTTCACGAGAATGCCGAGCTGAAGTACAAAGAATCCTACACCAGCGTGCCATGGATGTGAAGCTGGACCCTGCCCTCCAGGATAAGTGCCTGATAGACCTTGGAAAATGGTGTAGTGAGAAAACAGAGACTGGGCAGGTTGGTGACAGAGCTTCAGTTGGCTTTCTCTAATCATAATGTTAGTGACTCATTTAATGTAAAGTACCCATAAAGTCCATCTCAGTGTTTGCTGGTATGATCTATACATTTTCAATTTTCTTCCTAAGAAGAAACCCACCGGAGAGTTTTCTTTTGTTTGTTTGTTTGGTTTTTTGGTTTTTTGTTTTGTTTTTCTTTTATGTAAGAATAGTTATATTTTTTATATGCTTTAATGTTATGGTTTATTATTAGAGTTGGTTATTTTCCCTCATTATGTAGTGTTTAGAGCCAAGAGGACTGGGGAGATGGTGTAGAGGTTAAGAGCACTTGTTACTCTTGCAGAAGACTCAGGTTCAATTCTAGGACCTACATGGCAGCTCACAACTATCTGTAACTCCAGTTCCAGAGGATCCAATGCCTCCTTCTGACCTTCGCAGGACCAGGCATGCACATGTCACACATACATACATTTAGGAAAAACACTTATGTATTTGAACTAAAAGAAATCTAAAAATGTTTAGAAAGAAAGAAATCTCAGAGCCAGAATATGTCCTGCTCTGACAAGTATATAAATAAAATTTTGTGGTAGGCAATTTTTTATACTAGGCATTCTATTTTTCTTAGCATATTTCCTTTTTCTTTCATTTTAACTAATTTTATTTTTTATTTTTTTAAATTTTCTAACATAGGCTACATTAAATCCTTTTGTGATTGAAAGAGAATTTTGTGATGTATGTATGTATGTATGTATGTATGTATGTATGTATATGTATGTATGTAAATGTTCTGGAATGCACCCTAGGACAGTTCTACTAGATGCATGAAAATGTAGTAATTTTCCACTTAGTTGAAAGTCACACACAACTAGAAATAGTGACATGTGCTCTTTGAAGGTAGAAACAAGATAACAACAGCTCAAAGATAGCTTAGCTCACGCCTTTAATCCCAGCACTCTGGAGGCAAAGGCAGGTGAATATCTGTGAGTTTGAGTTTGAGGCCAGCCTGGTGTACATAGTGAGATCCTGTCTCAAAACAAAACAAAAACAAAAATGCCTAGGGGCTTACAGGTAGTTAGACACTCATAAGTTGCCCATGTTTCTGTAAATAAGTCCTTACCTAAGCCTCTATAAGCAATCATGGGGCTGGAGAGATGGCTCAAAGGTTAAGAGCACTGGCTGCTCTTTTAGAGGTCCTGAGTTCAATACCTACCAACTACATAGTGGCTCACAACCATCTATAATGAGATCTGATGCCCTCTTCTGGCATGCAGACATACATGCAGACAGAAAACTGTATACATAATTAATAAATAAATTTTAAGCAACCATAATTACTGGGTCCCGTACAGAGACACACCAAAAAATGTTGGAGTTGGACAATCTTTTTTTTTTTTTTTTTTTTTCTGTTTGTTTTTTGTTTTTCAAGGAAGGGTTTCTCTGTGTAATAGCTCTGGCAGTCCTGAACTAACTCTGTAGAGCAGGCTCACCTCAAACTCACAGAAAACTGACAGAGAACTCACAGAGATCCTCCTACCTCTGCCTCTGCCTCTGCCTCTTGAGTGCTGGGATTAAAGTTGTGCGCCCACCACTTGGCTGGAGTTGGACATTTTAAGAAACACCATAATTATTTACCAAGACTATTAGCTGCAGGAATATCATTTTCATCACTTGTTTCATGAGCCTGCTCTAATTGTTTATGATTAGGAAATGCCTATAGCTTAGCCTTCTGCTGCCTCTGTTTGATACAACAAGAACAAAAATGTGTTGATAGAGGATCCCAGAAAAGTGTTTCTTCACACTGTTCTATAAGGTGAATCTTCAGAAACCCCAACTACATTGTGGCCCATGACTGTGAAACTAAATGGTTAAGATTTTTCTTGTTATCTGTCTTACTTGCAGAAATTTGATGCATTTTCCTTTGAGTCATCCCCCTCTCCAATTCTGGCTGTTGTAATTTCTCCAGTCCTTCTGTCTTTCTTCCTATTCTAAGTCTAAAACAGATTCCTAAAGAATGATCAATATGTTGAACCTGAGCTCTTAACAGAGTGCTCTCCTGAGAAGTAGCTTTTGGTAGCCTTAGGAGAGGGACCTGGTACTGTACTTACAATTCTAAGCAACTAAAAGGAATAGTAAATAGTAAGGCTATATATATATAAGGCATTGTCAGCTCAGTGTCTAAAGCCCAGACAAAATACCCTTTAGGTAATAACAGTATGTGGTTAAAGGGTCTAGAGAACTAGATTGTCCATTAAGAGCACTGGATTGTATCCCAGAGGACATGAATTCAGTTTCAGTCATCCCTGTGGTAGCTTACAACCGTCTATTATAACTCCAGTTCCAAGGAATCTGACTCCTCTTCTAGCCTCTGCTGCCCCACACATATATGCAAGCAAAACACTTTGCCACATCAAATAACTTTTTTAAATAGCCTGCTAAAGTTTATAGGTTATGGTTTATAGTTTGATGACACCTAGGTAGTTCCTGTTGCACTTGTAAGTTTTAGCCTTCTGAATTTGCATGGCTTAGAGTACTACTTGGCTCTTTCAACTACTGTGTTACATCAAGTTAACAAGTTACATCTTAGATTTAATCAAATAAAGCTTTTGTGATGTTTAGGAAGGTGGTTTTCAAAGGGAGGCAAGTACAAAGGAGGCAGACACAGTGTCCCACCTCTCCTTATGTGCATCCATGACTGAACACCAAGGGCTTGCCTTTTTATGTTCAGGAGCTTGAGTGCCTCCAGGATCATCTTGATGACTTAGCTGTGGAATGCAGAGACATAGTGGGCAACCTCACCGAGTTAGAGTCTGAGGTAAGTAATGAGTAGCTCCCTGGGGGAGAGGTGCTGCCAGTAGCCCTTTTGTTTCCTTACTCTTGAAAATACAGATTCTTTGTATTCCCAAGTGAAAAGAACCTCATCAGTCTTTCCCTATTTACTTTGTAGAAAAGTACATTGTGCTGAGTCCTAACCTCTTCTGTCACAGCTCCAGAAAAGCTATCTATACAGTTAGCTGTTTGGCTTTTCTTGCGTTATCAGTTATTAGACCTTTTCTAACTTGAGAAAAGATGGCTTCTGCACTTCAGGTCTCTGAATCACATTTAAAAGCAGTCTAAGCAGTGATAGTCTCTTACCTCTAAAGCTCTTTTAGAGAGGTCATTTGGTACTAAATTTGTATGCTTAATAAATACAAAATGTGGGGTTAAAAAGCCTCATAAGTGTAGACAATATTGTTTAGAAATACAGAGATAATAAAAACTCCAAAGAATTTGTATGTTCTAATATTAATTGCCAAATATTTAATCTCCCCTTTCTTTTTTGTTTTGTTTTCTGAGACAGTGTTACCCTGTGTAGCCCTTAGCTATCCTGGAACTCCCTCTGTAGACCAGGCTGGCCTCAAACTCAGAGATCCCCTGCCTCTGCTTTCTGAGTGTGTTATTAAAGGCCTGTGTCATTACCACTCAGTACATCATCTCCCTTTTCTTAATTCTGCTTCTTCATTTGTTCAAGCCTATAAAAGGATCTATCTGTCAGGTGCAGTGAGTGGTATACACCTTTAATGCCAGCACTCAGAAGACAGAGGCAGGCAAATCTCTGTGAGTTCTAGCTGGTGCTACATAGTTAGACAAGGAGATGAGGGAAAATACACACACACACACACACACACACACACACACACACACACACACACACACACACACACTCCTCCACACTTGGCTTTTATAAAGCAGAGTGATTGATCTATTTAATCTTCTACAGGATATCCAAATAGAAGCTTTGCTGATGAGAGCATGTGAGCCTATAATTCAGAACTTTTGCCATGTAAGTGATGTCTGGGGGAACAGGGGTTACTAACAGAACCAAATTCAATGGGTCTTTGAGCCTCAAAGGTAGTATGGGGTTCACCTCTGTCTTCAGCATAACTACTCTTGAATGATAACCAGCTTTAGCAAATGAAAGTTGGAACTATAAACAAGATTGAGGAAAGGGCCAACAGCTTGGGGAACCCTGGTGATTATAGAGCTTGATTCCAGCAATTAGTAACACTCTGCAGATGAGCAGGTGTGTGGCCAGCAGCAGTGGGTGAAGTGACTTTATGAGAAAAGATAAAGGGGAAGCATAAGACTAGTACCTAAAACAGAGACCCCAGAGAGTCTGTGTAAGAACATGGCAAAGAGTCATCTGCGAAGAAGCAGGCTTCCACCAGACATCAAATCACCCGGTATTTGAAATAAATTGTTGTTTAACCCAAGAAAAGAAAAAAGAAAGAAAGAAAAGAAAAGATATAGGGGCTGGAGAGATAGCTCAGAGGTTAAGAGCACTGGCTGCTCTCCCAGAGGTCTTGTGTTCAATTCCCAGCAACCACGTGGTGACTCGGCCTTCTATAGTGGAATCTGATGCCCTCTTGTGGTGTAAATGTGTACATGCAGACGAGCACTCATACATAAAATAAAGAAATAAATCTTTAAAAAAATAAAACTTGTTAAAAGATGTTTTAAATACAAGAAAGAAAAGACGCAAGAGAGAAACTCCAGGGTTCAGCTGAGTTGCTTCTCAGGAATTGTTAGCAATGGTAGTTACAACTCAATGCCAAGTAACTTCTTTTACTCCCCTTTTACCCAAATTGTAGAAGTGAAGTACATTTAGTAACCCTTAAGATCTGACAGCTAGGTATTATCCCTAAAGCTGCTGCTGGCACCATAGAAGGAAACAGGTAATATTCCTCACAGTAGATGTTCTTGCTTCATGCATTTCTTGCTGAATTTTTATCTTTCCTGGTTTCTCAGGCTTATTTTTGAAGATATGTGATGTATTTATTTTGAAGGTTTCTAGAGTCACTCCTATTCACATTTTTTATGAATGGCACTATAGATTGTATTGTTAATTGTTACAAGTAAAGTGAAATGTGTACTATCTTTCCCAGGATGTGGCAGACAACCAGATAGATTCTGGGGACCTGATGGAGTGTCTGATACAGAACAAACACCAGAAGGACATGAATGAGAAGTGTGCCATTGGAGTCACTCATTTCCAGCTGGTCAGTTCATTTCCCGTCTTGGCTGCTGGGGTGATTAGTGAACATCTTGCTTTGGAACAGCCAAGCAATCCTGCTCTTCTCATTATTTCCAGTTATGTGCCCTATTTGGAACTTCTCTCAGTAACTGTGACTTTTCTTAACTGTGGCCAGGCACTTTCCTTAGCTCTTTAGCATTCAGTGACAAATGAGACAGGGTCCTAGAGAACATTCATTTTAGAGGGAATAGAGACAGGAGAGCAGGCAGCTCCTGCTCTGGTTAATGCTCACATTAAATGATACTTAATATCACTGGAGTCTGTTGTTTATATAAGTATTCAATGCCCTAGCCTAGATGTACAGCAGCACTCTGGGCCCTGAGTCCTTTCCTCTGCTCTGCTCTGCTCTGCTCTTTATTTCTTTCCCTCATTGTGTGCTGGAGCTTGAAACCAGGGCCTTACATGCAGTTTCCCACTGAACTAAATCCCTACACAGCATATCCTCTCCCTTTTTTTTCTTTTTAAATCATATAACTTAGATGTACTATTTGAATAATATGGCTAGACCATACTCTTTGTAATAACAGGAAGCTAAAGAAGTTTGATGTAGCAAGCACTTTGTCCATGGAGGATGATTGGTTAGTCAACTGAGGTTATTGACTGCTTCTCAGCATGTAGCCCATGTGCTTTCGTTCCATTATGTTAATGGACTGTCTTGCTAGAATCTAGACTCTAGTAAAAGAAAGATGCCAGAACAGATATGGTATGTATCATGGCTACAAAATCTTGGGTGGTTCAGAGAAGAAAAACAAAACCGGGGCAGGTGTTAGGGAATGAAAGGACTGCAAGAGGAGATACTAAGAAATTGAACTAAAAATAGAACAGTGAGCCCAGATGTGTGATTTGAAGGACAGGAGGGTCAGTGTGCTGTCACAGGAGAACCATGAGATCTCAGCAGATTCCAGAAGTTCTTAGAAACAGTGTGGTCTCAGACTTACTGTATGTATAGCCATGGGTGACTTTGAACCTCTAATTTTCCTGTGCTGTACCTATTTCCAAACTGCTGGTATTATGGCATGTGCCATCACACCAGGTTTTTATGTGATGCTAGGAATCAATCCTAGAGCATTATGCATGCTAGCAAAGCACTCTATGAACTGAGTTGCATCCTCAGTCAGTTTCTGGAAGTTGTATGGCTACACTGTTATCCTTTACTGTTAATCATGATTTGCCACAGAGCTAATTTTTTTCTCATATTTTAGGTACAGATGAAGGATTTTCGATTCTCTTACAAGTTCAAAATGGCTTGCAAGGAGGATGTGTTAAAACTTTGCCCCAACATAAAGAAGAAGTATGTATCTCTTAATTGATATATCCTGCCTCCAAAGTCTCCCTCAGCCAGTATGTAGGATATGAGGCAACTTCCCACTATCCTGCAGTAGTGGTCCAGAGGCCATTCTCTTTTTTAGTGCAACCAGATTCTGGCATTGTTTGCACTTTGGCCACAGCTCCCTCAGCCACATTTGGTCATAGATGTTCTCAAAGAAAAGCCCCTAATGTATGGGAATATTTTTTTGTTTTTGTTTTTTTTGGGGGGGGGGTTGGTTTGGTTTGGTTTGGTTTTTCAAGACAGGGCTTCTCTGTTTTGTTTTGGAGCCTGTCCTGGAAATAGCTCTGTAAACCAGGCTGGACTCGAACTCATAGAGATCCTCCTGCCTCTACCTACCAAGTGCTGGGACTGAAGGCCCAGCTGGAAATATTCTTTTAAAAAAAAAAAAAGCAAACCTGGGTTCAGACCATCTTTCTGATGAATCAGGTATGGGGAGTCCTGAGAGAAACAACACAGCTTTGCTGAAGTAGAGATCTCGGGGATAAGTAGACCTCATCTCCCTTGAGAATTGGGTCTTAATGAGGGAACTGATAGGCTTTGACAATACAGTTGCCCAAATCTTACAAGTTGTTCTTGCTTGGGGAGGTGTCGAGTTGTTATAGAACACATAGGTTTTTTTTTTGTTTTTTTTTTTTTTTTGTTTTGTTTTTGTTTTTTTTTTTTTTTTCCTGTGCCTTCAGGGAATGTTTCCCAGTAGTGTGTTATGCTTTTCCTTCCATGGCAGGGTGGATGTCGTGATTTGCCTGAGCACCACTGTGCGAAACGACACTCTACAAGAAGCCAAGGAACACCGGGTGTCACTGAAATGCCGCAAGCAACTCCGTGTGGAGGAGCTGGAAATGGTAATGCTTGCAGAAACCACAGGACCAGTGCTTAGCTGCAGAGAAACAGGAACAAGGAGATGGGTTTTGCTACCATTGTGAACCATGAGATGTGGTTACATTTCCATATGACATTAGTTGCTTCTTTACTGTTTTGAGTTTGGTTTTAAATGATAGAATAGTTTTTACCACACACCACTAGAAGACAAACTGGGATAGATTCCAAGCATTTATAGTCATTGGATCCATACTGTCTTCAAAGATAGAACTTTGCTGTCCATTGAGCTGTCCTCTGGCTGCAGGATGGCTTCCTGAAACAGCTGAACTGCCTCTTTTACTTTTCCTCTCCAGCAGGAAAAGAGAAATCTCCCTTCTCCTTGAAATAAAACTCCTTCCCTTAAATTCAGGTGTCAGTTTGTGGGCCCGGTTACCCCCCACAGGGTCATCTGAGACAGCTGGGGAGTGGGAGGAGAGGCGGACATCTTCAGCTACTGTTGTGAAGCATGAGATGTGGAGTCACAAATGAAATCACATGGCAATCATGTCTTCTTCACACTGCTGCCACCTATAGAAGTCATCCCTAGAAAGTATCCAGTCAACAAATAAGTCTGTAAAATTCCATCTTCAGGGGGCTAGAGGGATAATTTAGTAAGTAGCACTTGCTACTCTTCCAAAGGACCTGAGATCAGTTCTCAGTACCCACATCAGCTATCTTATGCCTGTTTGTTTGGGTTTTTTGTTTGTTTGTTTAATTTTAGTTTTTCAAGACAAGGTTTCTCAGTGTAGCTTTGGTACCTGTCCTGGAACTTGCTCTATAGAGCTGACTTTGAACTCACAGAGATCTGCCTCTCTTTGCCTCCTAAGTGCTGGGATTAAAGGTGAAGGTGTGCTCCACCAACATCCACTTTTTTTCTTCTCTTTTTTATAAAAATATAAAAATTATTTTGGTTTTTTTCATGCCTGTAATTCCAGATCCAGGGGATCTTGACACCTCTGGCCTTCTCAGGTATCTACATGCATGTGCACATGCCCACATGCAGGCACACATAAGTACATATAACTTAAAATAATAAAAGTGGATCTTCAAAAAATATATATTGACATCTGTAGCTTCCTCACCTCACTTCCCACACTGGCTTCCTCTCAATGCAGACGGAGGACATCCGTTTGGAACCAGATTTGTATGAAGCCTGCAAGAGTGACATCAAGGGCTACTGTTCCACAGTGCAATATGGAAATGCTCAGGTAACATTTCACTTTTGCTTTAAGTGTTAGAATTCAAGTTAAGATTTCTTTATAGCAGCCAGTGTCTCACAGGTAAGACAAAAACTGACCCATGCTGTCAGTTTAATTCCCCCTTTAGCTTTACCCCTCTGTGCCTTGTCTGCCCAGTAAATTCGTGGCATTTCTGTGTAGCTTCTCCAATAACTCCACCTCTGATATTCATCCAGTGTTTCACTGCTCAGTTAGTGCTTGCTTGTTTTCTTCCTTTGGTTTTTTGAGACAGGATTTCTCTCTGTAGACCAGGCTGCTCTGCCTCTCAAGTGGGATTAAAGGCTTGTACCACCACGCCCAACTTCATGGGTTTTTGTTGTTGTTTTTGTTTTGTTTTGTTTATGTCTGCTTTCTCAGCTACCTAGGACCTTGCTGTAGTTCTTTAGCCTTTGAGATGGTTTCTTTAATTTCTTGTGTCTGCAATCAACCTTTTCTGTTACAGCTTTTCATAGTTTGCCCTCTGATATGCCTTTTGTCATAGGATTGGGTCTAATTCATACTTAGCATCTAACGCTACTCTTATAAAATATAAGTTGAGTTTAATTGAGTTTCTCGACTACACCCTGCTAGTCAGGGTAGTCAAATTTGTGGTCCAAGAGGAATCCTAACAAGGGATGGCTCAAGCAGCCAGAAAACCAGAGAGCTTAAGTGGGTTTCCTTTTAGATTCCAGTATAGCATGCTGATTACCCTGAATTTTTGTCACTTGGTCCACTGTTGCCTCTAAGGTTATAAAATGATGAGTATAATTCCCCTTAATGAGAAAGTCCATACACTTATTGCCTGGAATTAGAAACTAAAGATCCTAGGGTAGAAAAACAGTGTCATTCACTGAATTGAGTGTTACAGTCAAAATAGATGAGCTTCAATCCCTGATTTGCTTTGTAACTCAACCATAACTCTTACATCATCCATACTATCAATTAATAGCATCATACATAACTATCAATTAACAGATGAACTATCAATTCCTGATGTGTACTTCCTAACTTAACCATAACTTTTACATCATAGATTATTGAATGTTTGAAAGAAAACAAGAAGCAGCTTAGTACCCGTTGCCACCAGAAAGTATTTAAGCTTCAGGAAACAGAGATGATGGACCCAGAACTAGACTATACACTTATGCGAGTCTGCAAGCAGATGATTAAGGTAAGGAACGAGTGTGACCTAAGTGATAATAACAACATGAACCCCTTTGCATTGTATCCTGTTAAACACAGCCAACATAGTGATTACCTCAGCTGTGGTCTGTAGCCCAGTAGCATTGCCTTCATCTGCCAACTTGTGGATTTTTGAGCCCCCAGAATCTCTGTGGGTGGAGCAAAGTGTCCATAAGCCCTTTAGGTAATGTGCTGCTGCTCAAGTTGGAAAAATCACAGAGCTGAGCTGATAGGTGGCCAGGAGTCATCATCAGATCATCTCCCACACCCAAGACGTTTCTTTTCCAGATTTTAAATGTTACTTTATGTGTATGTGTTACGAACGGTTTTCCTGCCAGCCTGGTCTCAGAGCCATGTCAGCCCCCAAATAATACACAGAGATACTGTATTAGATATAAAGCTGTTCGCCAGTTACTAGCGTTTATTGACTAGCTCTGTCTTAAGTATTAACCCATTTCTATTAATCTAAGTGTTTCCACGTGGTCTTATCTTACTGGAGAGAGGGTCTGGACCTCTAACCTCAAGCCTCTACATCTTGAATCTCCTCTCCTACATCTCCCAGAATCCTCCTTGTCTCCTAGTCCCACCTATCTTGCCTTCCTATTTGCCAACAGTACTTTATTCATTAACCAATAAGAGAAACATATTTACAGAATGACATTTCCCATTTTCTCCTCTTTTCTGTCTAAAATAAAAGAAGGGTTTTTAACATAGTAAAAATATATAACAAAACACTTATCAAATAAGAACTATGGTTAACAATATTTAGTTCATTAACATTTAGCAAGATTTAAACAAAATATTATCCTATCTTTGTGAGTCTAAAGTCTTATATGTAACTTATATGTAACTAACTAAATAAAACTATAACCATAACTATCTGTCTTTAACTCTATCAAAGACCACAGATGGAGAGTATATAAACTCTAGAAATAACCGAGACAACTCACTGTTGTGGTCAGTCACCCAAAGTTCTTCTGTAATGTTCCATCTTCAGCCTATAGGCCATAGTGTATCTGGCAGACTCCTCAGCAAAGCAAGAAACTTTTAAACTGTCCATCTGTATTAGCAGTTTAGGTGTCATTCTTTCAACTGCTTCCTGCTGGTAGGGGGTGCTGTCATAGGGATCCTAAGAAGCCACACAAATCCTGGCTATAGTGGTTGGTCTGTTATTATTCCACGATATGTATGAGTCTTTTGCCTGCATGTATGAATGGGCACCATATACATGCCTGGGACCCACTGAGACCAAAGAGGGCATTGAGTTTCCTAGAACTAGGGTTATAGGTGGTTGTAAGATGCCACATGGGTGCTGGGAGCCAAACCCAGATCCTCTGCAAGAACAGCAAGTGCTCTTAACCACTGAGCCATCTTTAGCCATGCAAAATATGTTTCTATTTTGCATATTCTTTTGCTTCAAATAATCCTCCAGTGAATGAATGTTCTTAACCTATCTGTATATACAAAGAAATTAAAATTAAGGAAATGCAAAGAAACGTTAATGAAACTGCATTTCAGCTTTCCTGTAATATACAATGCTGATCCTATCAATCAATGTCCATGAAAATTTAATGTTTATTTGTATGTGTGTGCATATGTGCCCATGCTAAAGAAGAGGGAGAAGGGAAGGAGGGAGAGCATGAACACTAAAACAAGCAAGGGACACTTGGCAGTGAAGTGTCCTAACCAGAGCTTAAGGCACTGTACATGGACATGTAGGGTTAACAAGTAGAGATGGAGTTCATTACCAGCCCACACCTGAGCTCTCATTTAAGGGCAGTAATGTGTGTATGGTGACTAACCTTATATGTTTGGTAGATTATAGCCCCTACACTTAAGGTAAACCACATGTATCCTTACCCCAGATCCCAGTTCACATTGGTTAATAGTTATTTCCTGAATTCTGCCATTGTGGTTGGGTAGGTAAGGCTTGAGGACTGGATGGCACCTGGTATAGTATCATACTCACATAGTAATTGCACTTGTGAGCTGGTCTGTACTGTAACATAGCCATAGTAATAGGAACAAACCTCTGCAGAATGGAACCAATGTTGGCAGGGAGAAATGTGAAAAATGTTGGCAGTTAGGAAAAGTAAACAAGGGACCTGGGTCTGGGCACCTACTGATACTTAGCTGTTCCCTGTGCATGCCAAGTGATGCCTTTGTCTTGAGCTTTCATGAGCTCCCGGGTAGATGTAAAAACAGTCACAGGTAGGTTAGCTGCTAGTTTGGAATAGCCTTTTCACATAATTTTGTTTTCTTTGCAGCGGTTCTGTCCAGAAGCAGATTCTAAAACCATGTTACAGTGTTTAAAGCAAAATAAAAACAGTGAATTGATGGATCCCAAATGCAAACAGATGATAACCAAGCGCCAAATCACCCAGAACACAGGTACCATCTTGGCTCAGGTCTCCTGCTCCCACTCATTGTAACCTAGGTAGAATTGGCTGGGCATGTGGTTACCTATAGGTGCCATATAGCTCATGAATTTGAAGAGGTGAGCCTGCATGTGAGCACCGTATCCTCTCCTCCTTTAGAGACTATCCAGAAAATTAGGTCAGGGGAAGAGAGCTGAAAATCTGGGCAGCTGCTGTTAAAACTAGGAAAGGGAGTTTTATGGATTTGCGCAGAGTTCAAGAGTATAGAAGTTGTTTTCAGAAGGGAAACTTCAGCCCTTTACTAGGAAAGCTTGTAGCTTAGTGGACAAAGTGTTAGGTATTTCTTTCATGATGCTTTCCAAAATATCTATTGTGGGCAAAGTTCTGTTTTCTGCTTTCAATATTGGACCACAAAACCCTGCAGAGCTGCTGCAGAATTGAAGGGCCCTGAGAACCAGTGATGTGCTCTTACACTGAGTGGAACAACCTTGGAAAGTAGATGTGTTAACACACATTTAATCCCAGCACTTGAGAGGTTAAGGCTGGAGGACTGTGAAATCAATGTCTATATGACTAGCAGGCCTGAAACCATGCCTTCCCTACTATGAAGGGACATATCCTTTGAACTGCAGGAAGACTTTCCTTCCTTTAAAAACAGCAGCAGCCTTAGTATGATAACTTACCTGCCATTTACTAACTTAACAAACTGGTGTTTATATTCATGACTATTGACATAATATGCCCCCTTTTGAAAAATTAATTTCCAAAATTTGTGAAAATGTATAGGTGAACCACTTTATCTTATATTGACATGTTTTTATTGTAGATTATCGCTTAAACCCTGTACTAAGGAAAGCCTGTAAAGCTGACATTCCTAAATTCTGTCATGGTATCCTGACCAAGGCAAAGGATGATTCAGAGCTAGAAGGCCAAGTCATCTCGTGCCTCAAGCTGAGATACGCTGACCAGGTACACAGTCTGGGCCCTCTGCAGCGCATTCTCATGGCCGTCACCAGCATTCTTCTGTTGTCCTAAGACCTTCTGTGCCTTCCCCAAGCTGGGTTGTGAGGGCTTATGTAAAAACTTGATGCTCTCAGGTGGTCTAATGTGTTTTCCCTTCATCATCTCTAGCGCCTGTCCTCAGACTGTGAGGACCAGATCCGCATCATCATCCAGGAGTCTGCTCTGGATTACCGCCTGGACCCTCAGCTCCAGCTGCACTGCTCAGATGAGGTAAGCTGTGGCTGCAAAGGAGAGGTGACTGCAGATAAGCTTCTCTGCTCCGCTCCTAACTGTGCTTCCTTACAGGCTGGCTCTGCCTCACACTGAGCTGGACCTGGCATTAGTTTGTTACTCTACAGCATTGCTTCCACACCTGCCTGTCAAACAAGAGTATTCCTTCATTATTACTTGTACATATAGTGTGGCTGTCCCTTAGTATTCTTGACCATTAAGAACTCTTTAAGACTTGCCAGAACAATACAAGTGCTCTCCTAATGGCTCAAAGTGCCTGTCCTTAGAAATTATTGGTCTTCCTGGCTAGAAAAGGCCACCTGAGGAGCCCTGCTCTTGTTCCCCTTAAAACTGTCCAGAGAAAGTTGTTTACTCTCTTCTCTGAAGATCATGTTTGAGAAGTCTGTGCGTGTGTCATATGCAGTGGCTGTCGAGTTGTAACTGTCAAGTTGAGCCAGGTGTTCAGTGTTTTCTTTTAGTATTTTACTTTGTTATTTAACCTTTTTCCTGTGGAATCAAAGAGTAGTCTTTTTTTTTTTTTTTTTTTTTTTTTTTTAAATGTTTTTCAAGACAGGGTTTCTCTGAGTAACAGCCCTAGCTGTCCTGGAACGCAATGGCCTTAAACTCACAGAGATCCACCTGCCTCGGCCTCTTTCAGAATTGACAGTCTTTGAACCTGAAAGGGGAACAGAGCTTGGGAGTCTGGCATCTAGTACAGCTGAAAGGAATGCTCAGGGACCCTGAGCACATGTTTGGGAGAATCAACATTGATATGTTTAGGGACCCAGGTTTCTGAAAATAAGTGGCATTGTGTCTCACCTCTCCCTGAGGAGCAGGCCCATTCAGAGTCTGCAACAGGCACCATATATTCAGGGCTGATTGGATGGGCTTGATCTTCTCTGGAAGCTAGTTGTCCCTCAGTTGGGTGGTCCTGTTCTATTGTCTCCTGAGCAGATTGCTAACCTATGTGCCGAAGAAGCCGCAGCCCAGGAGCAAACAGGCCAGGTGGAAGAATGCCTCAAGGTTAACCTGCTCAAGATCAAAACAGAGCTGTGCAAGAAGGTAGCCACTCCCACACCCTCATCCTTGTCTATCCCCTGCCTCTTTTTCCTTTGGTTCCATTCCATTATTGATTGGAAGAGAGCCATACATTAATGGTCAAGGACCATATTATGGTTTGGAAAGAAGTAACCACATAGAATGCTGGGTACGAAGGCTTGTATTTTATATTTGAATACTTTCTTCCTCTGGTTTTTCAAGACAGGGTTTCTCTTTGTAGCCCTGGCTGTTCTGGGCTCATTGTGTAGTCCAAACTGGCCTTGAACTCAGAGGTCCATCTGCCTCTGCCTCCTGAGTGCTGGCATTAAAGGCATGTGCCACCATTCCCACCTTATATTTGTATTGTGTTTTAGTGTGCACTGGTATTTTGCCTACATGTATGTCTGTGTGAGGGTGTCAGATCTTGGAGTTACATATTGACAGTTGTGTGCTGCCATGTGGGTGCTGGGAATTGAACCCAGGACTCCTGGAAGAGCAGTCAGTGTTCTTAACCGCTGAGCCATCTCTCCATCTCCTGTGTTGGGTTATTAAGGAGTTGGTATTATAGCACTAAAAGGAAGAAGAGAAGAGGAGCTGTGGGTGCATGTTTCTCCTCTGCTCAAACTGTTCAAATCCACATTTTGAGGAATGGTAAGGGCTGGTTGAAAATCAAATCCAAGCTGGTGCTGTATATCGTGAGAGAGAGAGAGAGAGAGAGAGAGAGAGAGAGAGAGAGAGAGAGAGAGATTTAAAGTGCAACTGCTTTTTTTGTTGTTGTTGTTTTTTTATGGTTTATTTATTTATTAGATATACACTGTTCTGCCTGCATGTGTCCCTACGTGCCAGAAGAGGGCACCTGATCTCATTACAGATGGTTTGAGCCACCATATGGTTGCTGGGAATTAAACTCAGGACCTCTGGAAAAGCAGCCAGTGCTCTTAACCTCTGAGCCATCTCTCCAGCCCCGTGTGTGTTATTTTTTAATGATTCACTTATGTGTGTCGTTGTTTTGCCTGCATGTATGTCTGTGTAAGTGTGTCAGATTCCCCTAGAATGGAGTTTCAAGCAGGTGTGAGTTGCCATACGGGTGCTAGGAATCCTCTGAAACAACAGTCAGTGCTCTTAACCACTGAACCGTCTCTCCAGCCAGGTACTGCACTCAGGGAGGCAGAAGCAGGTGGATCTCTTGAGTTTTAGGCCAGCCTGGTCTATAGAGTAGTTCCAGAACATCCTGGGCTGTATAGAGAGATCCTGTCTCAAAAAAGAAACAGAAAAAGAAAAAGTAAATAAAAGTAAAGAAACCTAGTCCATACATTTTTCTTGGTAACACATGATCCTGTATAAGTAGGATTTTTGTTGTTTTGTTTTTTTGTTCTTCAAGACAGGGTTTCTCTGTGTTGCATCACCACCACCTGGCTAAAGTAGAACATTTTATAATCAAAACATACTTTTATTTGGTTGATAAATTAAGATTTTTAAAAATTATGTGTTGTCTGCATGTGAATATGTACACATAAGTGCAGGAGTCCAAGAAAGTCAGAGGCATTGGACACCATGGCCACTGGGAACCAAACTCAGGGCTTCCAGAAGAGCAAGTGCTCTTAGCCACTGAGCCATCTCTCCAGTGTCTTGACTGAGAAGTGGAATTTCAAAGTTAGACTATAGGCTGTATATTAAAATTCTCAATCATCAGTCTAATTTTTTAATTTCACATTGTTCATTTTTCCTAAAGTAACAGAATAAGTATTTTATCAATAAAAATATTAATGTGTAGGTACTTTAAAATAATGTGGCATACCAGAATGCCAAGAACTCCTGCCTGGTCATGGAATCTTGTACATAGTACTCTTAGCTTCCTTAGCTCCCACTGTATAACAGAGGTGGTTAGCACATTAGATTGGGTGCCAGAAGTCTAGATGCATTCTGTGCATATATGGCCACGTTACCACCCACCTATCCCAGAGTAGTTTCTAGTTCATCTTCCCTCTTTGGCCTATTTATTTGCATGTTCTGTAGCATGTTACAACCAGCAGATCCGATACATTTCCTCCACAAAGCTCTTTCCACAATGGACTTCCCTTTCCAGGAAGTGTTAAACATGTTGAAGGAGAGCAAAGCAGATATCTTTGTGGACCCAGTTCTTCACACAGCATGCGCCTTGGACATTAAACACCACTGTGCAGCCATCACCCCTGGCCGAGGGCGTCGTAAGTAATAATTGTTTGATCTCTCCCTGTCTGATCTCCTTGGAAGGAACAAAGACTGCCTTTGAGTAACCAGTTGCAGCTATGCTGACTGTGGCTATAGACAGGCCATATATAGCCCCTCCTGGATATCTGCTTGATGGTAAAGCTAGGCCTTGGTGGCAGTGAATTTGGGATTAATTTTGCAGGTTTGAACTGTCCAGAGCCACAGATATAGTGAAAGGGAAAATTTGAGTTATTAGGGAATCAAAAACTAAGTTACAGCTAAGCATAGTGGCACACACCTTTAACCCTAGCACTCAGGAGCCAGAGACAGGCAGATCTCTGTGAGTTCAAAGCCAGGCTGGTCTATACGGAAAGTTCTTGGATGGATAGCCCAGGCTACACAGAGAGACCCTGTATCTAGAAAAGTAAACCACTAGTGTGTCCTCTTCTCCTCTTTCCTACAAATGAGCATCCTGGGTCTATAAGGAGCACTATGGCAGCTTCTTAGTGTCTGAAACCCAGGTGATAGGCAGCTTGTTTCTAAGCCAGGGACAGCCAGAGAAAGTTAAGAGATGTGAAGAGATTGTGATCAGCTGACACTGGAAGCCACACTTCCCACCAGTAGGATCTTGATCAAGGTTCCCAGAAAGAAGTTGACTTTGTTGGTCCTGAAGAGCTGAATTCTCAGATGCTTGGGAATATTCTCCCTAATGTCACAGAATTGTTCCTGTACAGTTGCAAATTTCTTATTCAATTGCCTCCACAGAGATGTCCTGCCTGATGGAGGCCTTGGAAGATAAGCGGGTGAGGTTGCAGCCGGAGTGCAAAAAGCGCCTCAATGACCGAATTGAAATGTGGAGTTATGCAGCCAAGGTAAAGAGCAAAACACTTCTGACATGGCAGTCTCTTCTGCCAGTTTTCATTTTGTGACATGTGTCACTGGTCTTATCTTTGATGGTAATTTAGTAGTGGACATATTCCAAAAACCGGGCCAGGCAGGTATCACATGCCTTTAATCCCAGCACTAGGGAGGCAGAGGCAGGTGGATTTCTGAGTTTGAGGTCTGTGGACAGCCAGGGCTACTCTGTCTAGAAAAACAAAAGAAAAACATATTAAGTCTCTAAAACCCAACTGTTTGTGAACCCAGAGATACCATCTCCCTTACAACAGACTAGGTCTACAAAGCCTTGTCAGACCAGTACTCTTCATACTCAGTTACCCAGAGTCCAACCCTGAATGGTTATCATTGTAACAGCCATCCCTTTACTCCTTCCCAAGGAGAAAAGCCACTGGTGGAACCCTGCATAGGTGAACAGCAAACACTAAGTCATCTCCCCTACTGTTTTCCTCTCCTTTGAACTGCTCAAGTTGTGGCTGAGGGACTCAGATGGACTCACTGTTTATTGTGTACTAGCCAATCTCATTCATTTTACACCTCCTGTTCTGTTCTTAAATATATGTCATCAACATAGGAGCTGCCCAGGTTTGTCTTGACCTCAGTGAGCTTCTGGGCTTCCAGGGTAATACTCCAAAGAACATTTTGTGTGCACTTAGGAACCCTTTGGAGCCTGATTTTCTGAGTCATGATTACACAGTGTTGTTGATGTAAGAGTATTTATAATGTAATAATTACACTTACAATGTGGTACATCACAAATTTGTGATGCCAGCTTGGACCTTCCTCTAGCAACACCAACATTAAAAAAGAAACACATAAAACATGGCCTTAGCTTTTCAAAGCTTTGTACCTTGTTTTTTAAAAAGGTATCACACACATTGAAGAGCATAAATGTATCTGGAAACCTGTGGCCTTGTGACTGTCGTGAGGGCCCCAGACTACAGTCTTCAGTGTAGCATAGGAATAATGAGATCTGTCTGCTGGACTGGTGTGAGCAGTGAGAGAGTTTGAAAGCATGCAAAGACCTCACACAGGCAGCCATCATGTCTGCAGCACGAGGAATTGTTAGTGCTATAGCAGCACGCGATGACACCTCTTTGTGTCTGTCTATATCTCAGTTTGGGCAGGAGACGCTTACAGTTTTATAATCCAAAAGTGTTATAGCTGTGTTGGTTTCCTTAAGTGCACAAGATGGCTCAATGGGTGAACAGGTCTGCGGTGCAAACCTAAAGACCTGAGTTCAATCCCTGGAACCTATTTAAAGGTGGCAGGAGTGAACTGACTGCACGGAGTAGTCCTCTGGGCATCCGCATTCACATCTTATACCCATGCACATGCACAAAATCAGATTCATAATAATGAAAAAAGAACAGCCAGATGTAATAGCACACACCATTAATCCCAACACTTGGGAAGCAGAGGACAGCCAGAACTATGTAGAGAGATCCTGTCTCAAAAAAGAAAAAAATGAGCCGGGCAGTGGTGGTGCATGCATTTAATCCCAGCCCTGGAGAGGCAGAGGCAGGTGAATCTCTGTGAGATTGAGGCCAGCCTGGTCTACAGAGCTACACAGAGAAACCCCGTCTCAAAAAAACAAACAAACAAAACAAAACAAAACAAGCTAACTATACACACACACACATTCATACACATTAAACTAGGAATTCAGAGAACAAGTTACGTTATCATCTGCTATCTACCCAGCTGCCCCTCAAAGGGTGGGTGACATTGCTGTCTCCTTCCAGGTGGCTCCAGCAGATGGCTTCTCTGATCTTGCCATGCAAGTGATGACATCCCCCTCAAAGAACTACATCCTATCTGTGATCAGTGGGAGCATCTGCATCTTGTTTCTAATTGGCCTGATGTGTGGACGGATCACTAAGCGTGTGACACGAGAGCTCAAGGACAGGTAGAGCTGCCTGACCACCAAAGGGACTACCTGCCCAGGCCCTGTTTGTACAGCCTTCCTGTATAGTGCACCCTCACTTCGTCCCTCTACGAAGTGGCACCGACGCCCACAGTAGAGCAGCATCAGGTGCCCACTGCATCTTCCCATCCAGACTTGGCCTCATCCACGGTGTCCTCCTCCCAGCTGCCACTGCAGCATTGACAGCTGGCTGCTTTGTTGGGGAAGGGTTTACCTGCCTGTAGACAGTTCTGTCCTACTGACAGCACTGCCAGCACTTCCAGAGCCGACCCACCTGACCTGCAACTCAGAGTCTCTTAAAACAAAACAAAAAGACAAAAAAACAAAACAAAAACTTAAAGGAAAAAGTGTATATAGTAGCCCATCTCCTTCAGTCTTGACTCCAGCAGTAGGGTTGTTTCTTTCATTTAAATGCAGCAGGTGACAGCAGGACTTGGAGGAGATGTGCATATCCGGTGCCTGATCATTGAAATGTCCGGTTCTTCTCCTAGAAGCAACTTTGGGCCACATCAAGGCAGGGGACTTCACCAAGTAGTGGGGACAATAAGCAGCCTGCCCTGGGTCCTATTTGCTTCTGCTACAGCGTGATGCCTTCCATCTCCTACCCCAGATGAGCCACTGCTGCCCACAGCCCCCATAGCAACAGGTTTGCCTGTGATCTCCCCACGTGAGTGCAGAGGCAAGAGCCTCGCAGGGTCAGTGGCAAGTGCACCAGGGAGGGAGCGGAAGTCTGAGGCAGGACTGTCTGCTGATCTGCACTGAGGCGAGCCTGGGGTTGCCCTGGAAGTTCTCTACCTCAACAGGAAATAGTTACTAGGTTGGGGTGTGGAGCTTCTAAGATGAGGATGAGGGTGGCAGTGCATGGAAGAGCAGGTGTTGGTCTCGCTTCACTTTATTTTTTGAGTTACAGTACAGGCCAGAAATGGTGGCTTCTAAAGATTTAGCATGGTCTTGGATGTGTGGCTGGCAGTGAAGCCTGACTTTCTGTACACACCAGGCAGACTTCCCAGATAAGCTCTTTTGTGCCTCATATGAAGGGATGTGGAAAGTGATTGCATTAAAAGGTGGAGGATTTTCTCCGGTTTTGTGTTTTTTTTTTTTTCTTTTTTTTTTTTTTTCTTTCTTTCTGTTTATTTGGTATGTGTACCCACTCTCATAGGCACTGGCTAAATGTTAATATTTTGGCAGTTTGTCAACTTTCCATAATCTGAGCTTTCCTGGAGCAAGGTTCTCAGCTATCTTCCCTCACTCCTCCAGTGTGAAAATGACAGGGTTTGGGCAGAAGAGGGGGGGGACCTAGGCATTGCGGTTCACCTTTGGCGAGTTTGGGCCATGTCGTCACAGTGGCTGTACAGAAGGGTGGCATGTACAGTAGGAGATATATTTATATAATATATATTTTATTAACCTGTTAGATGTCCACAAAGTATTATAAATCATGTGCCTAAAACTGTCCACATAGACCCAGACCCCTTTGCAGTACCCTCTGCTCCTGCCTCCCCTTTGCTCCTACAACAAGTGCTGCCCGCAGCTGAATGACGCAAGTCTTCCTGAGATGTGCGCAGTGATGCAGGCTGTGTCTGGTACAGATCAGTTGCTCCAAATTCCTCATCTGGCCTGGCTGACATTCATTTGAATACTGTGGTTTTCTTTTGTGCTGCCTTTTCTGATGGCAGTGAGTTCCAGGGCCAGCTGACTGTCCCTGTGTAGGGTCATAGATGTCGCCAAGGGGAGCTGCTTGCTAAGCTGCCTGGTTCCCTCAGTACTGCTTTTAAGAGTCTTCCTGATTCTCAGCAGCTATCTTGGGATTCTTGAGTTTCATGAGACTTAAATACCCTGCTCTGTAAGCAGCACCTTCACTGCTAACTGGCTAACCCAGTCTTTAAAGCCCCTCCCTCCCCAGGAGTCTGTGTCACACTGGGGCTGATACCCAGAACTGCAGACACTGTTGAAGGTAGCCCCACCCCCACACACACATCTTGGTGATTCAGGGTCAGGTTGATGTTCACCTTTAGACTAGGGTAGGATCATGGCTCTGATCCCTGTAGCCCCCACTTCTGAAGTGTGCTTCTAATGTCTTGATGTTTCTGTTTCTGTAGCGATGGAAGTCATGATTGCCTGCAGATTTGGAGGTTTGATGAGTTAGGTTGTTAAAATATTTGTCATTAGAAATGGTCAGAATAGAAAAGGTAGCTCCTGGTGTCTTGAATTACCTAGTATAAGGAAGTGTTCATCTTCCTTGAAGTAGTTCTTATGACTGGCTTAAACCTGATCTTGAGCAGGTTTTTCTAGTCTATGTCTAGGGGGTCCAGTGCTGTACATTCTGTAGCTCATTGGGCATAGTGCAGTGGGCCCTAGGGCACTCAAGCCCCTGGCCTCCTAAGTCAATCATGGGTATAAATTAGATAGTCATGAACTCCCTACGGTGGGAGCCAAAGTCTGAGCCTTGCCTTTCCCTGTTCTACTTCCATTACCTAAGAATAGAAGTAGTCAGGAGGTCTGGGCCAAGGCTTGAGCAGAGCAGCCAAGTCACTATGATCTGCCTTGCCAGCTCATGCCAATGTCTTGGGGACTGTTATTGATACACCACCTTTTGCTGCTTCAAAAAAAGCAGAGGCCTGGGCTGGGGTCTCTGGACCAGGAGTTCAGAGATCTGGATAGTGAGTTAGGAACCACACTAACCTTCTCTGATGGGGCTTTCCCAGTGAAGGAACACTCCAGAAGCAAGACATTTATTTTACCAGGCTGCATGCCTGGTCCCAGGAAACATCTGGCTACCATTTCCAGTCCTGGTTCTGTGGATCAAGTCAGCTTGCTGAACCAGTGAATCCTTAGTAGGTAGGGACACTTCAGGGCCACTGATGAAGTGGCATTTAGTGATCAGGCAGTAACAGGGCCTGTTGCAGGTACCATGCATTGCTGCCATCTTCTGCTCTTAATAGGAGCATCCAGGCCAGCATGGGGCCAGAAATGTGCGAGGAAGAGTCCATGTCCCAGATGAGTTGGTAGAAAGTTATTACCCAAATGTATGTCTTCCTGTTTCCTAAACTCAACTGATAGACGATACCCTGTTTACCAGACACACTAGGTCAGGGTCCATGGTTAGTGCTCTCGGCCTTCCTGAGAGCATCCTCCTGTATATCAGTGTGACTTCTGGACTCCCCATGCGTCTGGTCTCAAGTTCTCCTGAAAAGATACCTCCCTTCCCATTCTTTCCCCTGTCCCAAAACGAAAACAAACTGTCTCCACTTACACGAGGCTCAGTATCACAGAAGTCAGCCAGGTGGTGGCTTTTTTTAATTACATTCCTCTTGGAAGTTTGTGTTCCAGCTTGTTGAGAATTTGAAAACACGAAGCTCAGATGCCCTCTGGGCTTCTCTGCCCTACTTGATTTCGGTTCTGGCCTCCCCTTCCCTCCATGTAGCTTTGATTTGCCATCTGTCCAGCCACTTTTCCTTGACCTCTTCACTAGGGAGGCCAACTTCACCTGTTAAGGTAATCAAGTTTAAAGTCAAAATTGCCTTCTTGCTACCCAGTTCTCAGACAACTGAGAGTTATAAACAAACCAAGATTAAACCTCAAGAGTGACATATTCCCCTGAGCAGACAGTGAGACTGCTGTGGGGGGACTCAGGGGCTGCTTGTCCCCTAAAATACCAAGATAAAGTTGTCTGCACAGGCAGATAGTGAAGGGGTCCTGACAGGTTCTTCTCTACATCTCCACCCCCTACCTGGACACTGAGCATCGGGCAAGGGAGAGCTTCCTAGGTGAGGAGACCCAGACCATACCTGTAGGTCATGTTTGGTCTTTTCCCACCCAAAACTGACGTGAGAACCTCAGAGCTTGGAGTCTTTATCTGGAATAGGTCCCATCCCCGTCACTCGGCAGCAGGCAGGGCAGTCCCTGCAGGAAGACAGCGGACACAGTGAGCGCTGTGCCAGATCTCGGGCCTCTAACCTGGTTTTACTTTTCATTTTCGTGTTTTGGGTTTTTTTCTTTTTTCTTTTTATAATGGAAAGTACAATTAACAAGCCTCTTTTTTGTAAATGGATTTCCTTTCTGTGTATAAAACCCTGCAGTTCCTTGTTTTTACATGTTCATGCTGTGTCATTTCAAGATGTTACTGAGATTCTGAACATAATGTGCATTTTTCTTCTGTACAGATGAAATGGGAGAATTTAATAAAGAGTTTGCAGGTTTGTACTTGTCGAATCTTGTCTGTGGTGACCGGGAGGAATCTCCAACCCCTGCTCTGCTACTGCAGATTCCTAGAGCTGTGAGCAAACAGGCACACGGGCCCTGCTGAGGAGATGGTCCCCTGGGTCCTGACTTGTTGGGACCCAGCAAAGTGAGAGTGCAGAATTTGTGGGAAGGGAGCCTCCATCCCTTTTTTTCAGTGAGCTATGGTATGGCTGGAAATTACATCTTGGATTTTCTGACTGGGCCTGATTTGTCCTGAATTACTCCTTCTTCCCATAATGTCCTGGGGAAGGCACAGGCATGCAGCCTCTGCAGGGTATCCTGCACATGGCTTGCTTGGTCCTACAAGACATGCCTGACCTCAACCCTTGCCATTACCATCTTCATGGTTCTTTCTTCACTGCCTGCGGCCAGGGACTGTCCCTGGATGTCCTGCCGATGCACTCTCCACAAAGCATCTAGAGTGTGCCTGGTGGCAGGGAACTCTTGAAGTAATTGTGTCCGTGGTATATATAATGAGAGAAGAAACAGTAGGCGGGGCCTTGCTCCTCCCTGGACTTGCTCCCGTTCAGGCCAGCAGCTGTCACTTGGGACAAGAGACCTGAGGAGGAATGAGTGAAAGAGGAAAGACTGAGCGAGGGATTAGAGGGCCTGTGAGTACTCACTTCAGAACTCCTGTCGAGGGCCATGAGAGATACGGCAGGGTGACCGTCTCAGGATGACCATCAGGTGAGTGACCTCTGATAGGGAGCCCCACCACAAGGCCGTGGAGTCAACCACGGGCTCCTGTCTGTGATTTCCCTCATGAGGCGCTTCATCTCGTCCCTAAGAAGGGTTTGGGGGTTTCTCCACTGCTTGTGTGTTTATCTCATGAGAATTTTCCATCTGCTGGGCACACACCCCTAGAGAGACAGGAAAAGGCTATGGATCACTTAACCAGCCCAAGAAAGGATTTCCTTCTCACTGGGGCTTCACCTAGAACAAGCCTCGGATTTCACACTACATAGCCATAGTTTTTCCCTTTGATCTGCCACCTTAGATGTTTTCTCTAGTGCTGAGAGGTCCCCTTTAATCGGCTAATGGAGGTGCTAGCTTCTTTCCACAGTTTACACCGGTTGCCATGACTGCCCTGACTTTCCAGAGCCAGATCCAGTGGAGTGAGTACTACACTTTGTCCGTCCCCTTCCACATCTATTGATCACCCTACCACACTCAGAAATGCAGTTTAGCATAAAAAAAAAAAAACAAAAGAAAAGAAAAAACTTTTCCTCTTCTTAGAATTCTATACTGACGTAAAGCCCCCTCTTAATTGACCCTCTCAGTGTCTGCCAGGGAGTCTCACTCCCCCACCCCCTCTGAGACATAAAGTAAGATAGCAGGTGCCCACTTTGTTAGTCCTTATCTGTCTTCTTGGCCCTGAGAAATGCTTGTCTGTAATCTTGATATGGCCAGAGACTTGCTAATTGCTAATTGTGTGGGTATATAAACTGGGATTAGAGAGACTCTTTTAGAAGAATGGCAACATTGATGAGAAGATGTATATGAGCTGATTCATTTCCTTCACCCTTCACTAAATCCTGTGCTTGCTGTAGCTTTCCTTCTGGATCCTGGGAGGTTAGGGGGCCTGGTATCCCAATAAAACTTGATACACTCCTTGGTCCAGAGCCTCAGGAGTCATCAGCCCTGTGTGTGTGTCTACAGCATTGCTTTAGCCTGGATTTGTAGATGGGGTCCAAATTGTGGCTGGGTATACATCATAAGGAAGATGTGTATCACTTGCCCTGGCCTTCTCTGCCTTACAGAGAATACTAGAGCCCCAGGCTCTGTCTGGCCTGTAAGGAGCATGTTGCCTAGATGCTGCCTTAGCAGCCTCTCTCGAGCTTCATGAGTAAGAATTTTTCTGGTAGAATATAGGCCAGCTTCAATCCTCAGGCATTTGGCATTTGTTCTCCAGAGTCTGAGATTTAAAGGGCACAAGACAAAGACAAAAAAAAAAAAAAAAAAAAAAAAGAGAGAGAGAGAGAGAGAGAGAGAGAGAGAGATTATAATGGAATCTAAAATCAATAAAGTCATCTTATAACTTGAACAACCTGCAGGACTGCTTAGTGGTTAGGAACACTGGGTGTTCTTTTCTAGATCTGTGTTTGATTCCCAGCACCACCATACGGCAGCTCACAACTATCTGTCTGTAACTCTAGCCCAGGGGATCTAGCCCCATCTCTGACCTCCAAGGGTACCAGGTACCCACGTAGTACATAGACATACATACAAGCAAAACACCCACACACACAAATAGAAACTTTAAAAGGACAGCTGAGACGACCCCAGGTATGAGTACTTGCACAAGCATGAGGACCTGAGTTCAGATTCCTAGCACCCAGGTAAAAGCCAAATGTGGCCACATGTGCCTGTAACCCCAGCACTGGAGTGAGGAGGACAGGATGGGAGATGAAAGGATTTCTGGGACTTAATGGCCAGCCAGCCTGATGGGGGACACAGGCTCTCTGGCATCCACACGTGCACACATACATACACATAGTAGTGGTGCATGCCTTTAATCAGAGCACTTGGGATGCAGAGGCAGATAGTGGTCTTTGAGTTCAAGGCCAGCCTGGTCTACTTAGTGGGTCCCAGAACAGCCAGAGCTGCGCAGTCTGACAGTGAAAGAATGTGTCACCAGCAGACTTGCATGAAATGAATCCTAATGCAGGATCTTCAGATAAGCTAAATGACCTCCATGGATGGAAGAAATGGGAAAACTAAAAAGCCCAGGAGGGTGGCAGAGGCAGGCAGGTCTCAAAGGCTAGCCTTTTCTACATAGTTCCAGAACAGGCACAGCTACATAGACCATCTCAAAAAAGACAAGAAAAAAATCTAAATACTCCATGCAACAACAGTAGAATTCGGTTTCTTTGCATGGAACACTTGTCAACTTAGACCATACCTCAAGTTACACATTAGAAAGGCCTCATATCCCCAAATAAGTTATTTAACCACAAGGAAATTGTGAGGTCCTCAATGGAAAGATACATAGAAATATTTAGGAAAAAAAGACATTCTCGTAAGTAAGCCATGATTCAGTAAGAAATAATGAAAATTATCCTAGAAGATAGAAAATGTGTTGAGAGGCAGCTAAAGAAGTAATAGGGGACTTGAGAGGACCTAGGTTCAATCCCCAGCACCCACATGGCAGCTCACAACCATCTGTAACTCAGTTCCAGAGGATCCAACACCTTCTGACCTCCTTGGGCATCAGGCACATACATGGTACACATACATACATACATGCAGGTAAAACACTTGTAAAAAAATTAATTTAAAAAAGGTATGGGCTGGCAAGATGGCTGAGTAATATGGCCTACTTCCAATCATCAATAGAGTTCAGTCCCTGGGATCCACACAATAGGAGAAGATGGACTCTTGGAATTTGTCCTCTGAACTCTACATGTGCACACATACACAATTTTACTACAATTTTTAATATTTGGGACTAGAGAAATGGCTCATTAGTTAAGAGCAAAGGACCCAGGCTCAATTCCCAGTACCCTCACGGCAGCTTATAACCAGCTACAACTCCAGTCCAAGGGGATCCACACTCTCACTTTTTGTGGGCATCAGGTACATACATACACACAGACAAAAGATAGCTACTTCTATGTAGCTGTGGAGACTGTCTTGGAACTTGCTCTGTAGAATAGGCTGGCCTCGAACTCAGAGATCCACCTGCCTCTGCCTCCTGAATGTTTACAGCACCACACCCTGGCTCAAACAAAATACTTATAAAATAAGGATAATTTTTAAATGTAGTATTTTTATGTGTGACTGCTTTGCCTGTGTGTATGCTTGTGCACACATACATGCAGTGCCCATCAAGGCCAGAAAAGGATGTCACATTCCCTAAAACCAGAGTTATATATGGTTGTTGGAAGCCATGTGGATGGAAGGAATCAAACGTATTTTGGGAAGAGCAATAAGTGCCCTTAATCACTGTGCTATCTCTCCAGCCCTAAAAATGTTTTATTTTGTTTTAAGTAATAGAAATGAGGTGGTCCAAACTCCTCCAGAGGCCAAGGGAGGAGGTTAGCTTGAGCCTGTTTGTTTAAGACCAACATGGACAATATTATACCATAAAAGGATATGTACAAATATTACCAGGCTGGTAAAATGTTCTAAAACTAGATTACTGTGCTTTAAATGGTTGGAGTCCTGGATCTGGTTCCCAGCAGTGCATACAGCGAACATAGTGTCACACACTTGTAATCCCAGCTCTCAGAAAACACAGGCAGCAGGAGTCAAAGCTCTGGACCAGGGGTTCTCAACTTGTGGTCAAGGCCCCTTTAGTGAAGCCCTACCTCCAAAAGTATTTACATTACAATTCATATCAGTAGCAAAATCAGCTATGAAGTAGCAACAAAAATAACTTTATAGCTGGGGGTCACCACTAGAATTGTGTTAAAGGGTCACAGCAGTAGAAGGGTAAGAACCACGACTTTAGGTCAGCCTTGGCTATCTTAGTATTCAGGCATCTGTACCGGCCTGCCCTCTGCGTTCGGACACGGTATGCCCTCAGCTGCAGCCACTGAGAACCACCTGTGCACAGTCATCATGTTCCCTTTTAAAAGGGCCCTGCCCACCTCCCATCCTCCACTCTCTCTCCCTCTGTTCCTTTCCTCCTTTCCCCTCTCGCTCCTCTCTTCCCATTTCCTCTCTCCTGGTGTTCCTGTCTCCCGAGTCTGGTCTTCCCTCTTCCCTTTCCTCTTTTTATGACCCCTTTCCCTAATTAAAAAACAAAACAAAACAAAAAACCTTTGCTTGAACCCTGATGCGTGGCATCTTCCTCTCAGGCGCTGCTTTTCTTATAACACTGGTTTCCTGGCCGGGAAGGCTCTCCTGCTATCTCCTCCTGCCCACGGGCAGTTTGAGGCACTCCAGGCCCCTGGAACCTGGTTTATACTACAGTCAGCCTCGCTTCTCCGGATCGCTGGGTCCTTCCATCCAACATC